CACTTTTTCTTCAATATAGTGTTATTGAGAAATCATAGAACCATAATTATTTATTTGTGTGCGCTGTGCATTTGTTTTCATGTTTATCTTGAAACGGACGAAGTGTTTTGATGCATGTACAGTTAGTACCGTAGTACTCGTTAATTAACATATCCCGCTCAATAATCTGTCTAACATGCGACCTCTGTACCCGCTTACAATAGACAGTTAAGTTGTATTTTTCCGTATTGTTGCAATTACTATGGCATTTAAAACAGATATTGTTTACGCGGGACAGTTTAACTACACAATATAATGTAATATAAAACGGTATTGACGATTTTCTGAAGAAATTATCAAGAACAATTCTCAGTACTGTGTATGTAATCACGTATGTGTACATCAGTTAATGGGGAAGTGATGGTCCATTGTCCACGAGGTAATGAAATGGATTTCTCGTCCCTAAAATGAGAAGAAACACCTCTAAATGTCCGCCTTCTCAAGTGCTCGGGAATCATGTGCTGACATATATATGTGCATGTTATAAGCACTCGACAATCGCACTGACGTAAGCTTAAGTTTACCGAGAAGGCTCAAGTTGCATTTACTTTCTTTTTCGTCCTCGTCTATACAGTGAGTACATACAAAACAAATGTTATCAAACTGCACCCTTATTTGTCGTTGGTATTGTAAGTAGAATTCATGCCGACTGATTCTAGATATAATTTATATAATGCCATCAGATTGTAGCTGTCAAAGCAGATTCTAACCACAAGTCCGTCTTCGGAAGAAACTTCCCCCTAACAGATCATGCTTACATGTAGACATCTACGTTTCCACTGTATTCAAACTATTCATAATGACTTCATGACCAGTCTCTTCTGTGATACGTTCGACAACCTGATCTAAGGATGGTGATTGGATCAGTACTGGCCTCACATTTCCCTTATCCCTTGAAGCTGATCCCCTCATTACCTGGCCAAAAATTATCGACAAACTTTCACAACAATGATCATGTATCACCCACCACGACTTTATCATGTGCTCATTCTGCTGCAGAGTTACGCGGAACAGTGACCGAAAATTCAGAAACCTAGACCTAAAATGTCACTTTGGGTTTACAGTCACCACTGTTTATTAGTTATCTCTGAACCTTGTATTTTACATTTTCGGCCGAACGTTCACTTGAAAACAACGAAAGTATAGTTAAGTTTACTTTCCCTTAACTATCAACTTTTTTGATGTATATGGTGAGTGTAAGTAGTCTAAAACACATAAAAATATGTATCTCCTATGTTCTGTAATTCATTGAACGCTGATTCGAGTTTCGCTAGACTCACGAACCGTCTGTTCAGTATAATATGCCCAAACAACAAGAAGTACGACAGATGTGACTGAGTCAGTATAAAACAAGACAAAAAATTTATCATTGAGGAGAAACTTTATTAACTGCAGCGCAGAAAGTATTACTGACACAAGTGAAAGACCATAATAGCTATAAACTCACTGATCGTCAGTCATCTTTTCTTTAACTTTGGACAGAACGATGTGTTACACAGATTATCGATCCAGAGAGTCGTATGTGGTTATTTTCGAACACATCATTTACTTATCTGGCTATAACTGTATAAGAGTTGACAAACAATCACCATCTAAACGCAAACCAACTTCACCAGGTGCTCTACAGTCATTGATGATTCCATGGGAAAAACAGTAATCTTAACATGAGTTTTTAATAGCATTTGCCTCCTCACTTGAATCAAGAGAAACACCGCCCTCTTTTCTCATTAAAGACAAGAGCTTGCATCACAGTATTCGTACCATTATTGAGGGTGTTGACGTATGCTGTGTTAACCAGCAAATATAAGAGTTATAGTCGCTAAATATAGGCTGCCCTGAAAAGGGTGCCAAAGGCTCTCACATGTCTTTTACCCATTGTTGTAAGGTTCCTCCGATTTCGAGTCCTGTCCAACGCAATATTAATGGGCGCTTAGACGTGCGGGCATGGATGCCTTCACGATCATCTTTTTCACAGTAGGGAATGACTTATTCGTATTGTCCTCCAACTTGATGAGCTTCACATCCCCACGAAGTCGTTTTGTTAAAAATTTGATGAAAGACACGCAGTACCATAAGAACATTCTATTGAAACTTACCAGGCCATCGAAAGTACGTGATTGCTTGACCGTGATCTGTTCTGGATAATCCAGAAAGGCAGCCACTTTGCATTTTAGAAGGTGAATACTTTGATTGTCAATAATATGTCTGAGAAAATCTATGGAGTCGGTCCCGATTCGATATAGCTGAATGTTTACAGTAATCAAGTGTTCTTGCAATCGTACTAAACCAAGATACAAATGATGGAGATGAGAAACTTTGTCCTAACTTGCGATCAAGCGGCAATATGTACATGCATATACGAGACTGACTCCTCGAAGGATGTGATCAATGGGTATCCAGAAATTTTGTGCAGCATTTCTTAAGCTGAAAAACATGAAATAAACTAGTGCAGTTCGAGAAAAGTGATATTAGCGGTTTTTTGGGATGTCTTGAGAATTTAGTTATACGTTTTAGCCAGATCGCTTTTCGGAAAAACAGTTGCACCTTTTATGGTAGCCATCAAAACGTGAATGTGCGGGAGGGATAATTATCGAGAGTGCTTTTCGTACTCAGTCTTCGGCAATCAACAATAAGACACCAGTCATCGTTTGTTTTTTTAAGGACCGTGTTCAAGAGAGATGTCCATGGGTTGCTTGATAGCCGGATAATTCCTAAGTCTGTCGTGTGGTCGAATTCATTTTTGATCATTCTCAGCTCTCCAGGAGTCAGTCGGCCAGCTTTCGAGAATACAAGTGATCCTGTAGTCGTGATGTGATGTGTAACGTTGCTGCTTACATACGGCAATTTTGGTCGCATTTGGTACATCCTGAAATACATGTCGAGTATTTGTTGGTAGAATGGATCTATCGTGTGTTTGTGACAGAAGATAATCTGCAACCGGAAAAAGAATTTACGCAAACAGATAAATTAGTGTTCCAGTCTACTAGCCTTCGTTTGCGCGTATCGAGTAGATTGTGGTGTTGTAGCAGGTCTATACTAATGATTGGAGTAGAACCATCTGGAACAACAAAAATCCAGTGAATGGGTTTGCATAAACCCACGTTAAAGTAAACGTACCTTTTACCGTATGTGGCGATTGGCTTTTCATTTGCCGCCTGTAGATTTAAAATCAATTCGTGAAGCCGGTCGTTAGAATTTGCAGGAAGAAAAGCTAACTTCTTCAACAGTATCGACCAGGTAGCGAACTTTCGTTGTGACATTTGTGACGTATAGCAAACGGCTATGTTCACCTGCTACGGTTGCCGATAACGCGTATCGGCTTGGAAGTTTCCTGAAATGCTTTTTGTGTCGATCGATTTTCAGTTGGAAAAACTGCAGGGTTTTCTGCAATTTCTGGAGGACTTCCCATACTGGTTATGATATCAGCATCAGTCGGAGTTATCAGTCTCTTGTGATGAAGAGAAAGTGCGTCTACGTGAGGTTCTTCTTCTCGGGGTGTGTGACTGTTTAAGGGTATGACGGAATCGCAAATAACGTGTCAGCGAGTGACACAGTTCCGGAATGTCAATCCAGGTCGTTTGAGGCTTTTCTTTGACCGAAAGAACCTCGGCATAAGATTTCGTGATTTTAAGGATACGGTCGGCAGATGCAGTCAGCTCGTCTAAGGCGGTGTTTTGAAACGAGACCAGCACAGCTTGCACGTGTTGAGAAAGTTTGGATAAGAAAAGTTGTTTAAACAGGCCATCATCGAAGGTTCTTCTGCTGATAACTTCCCTCATTTTTAGAAATATGTCTGTCGCAGAATCATGTTGCGGGTCGATGTTATTAAGGAGTTGGTCTCAACTTTATCGATCAGTTAAGTCTCCGCGTTTAAGAATTGATCGTTTAAGTGTTTCGTAAGGTTCCGAAACATCACTAGTAAACATGCTAGATGTTATGTACCTACCTTGACTACTGCGAGGAATCGGTATTATGATTAGGAGTATTTGAATTATAGTACGAACAAAGAATCCCAGAAATAACGTAATAGGATCAAAAATTACTAGATAAGCGCGAAGGAATGTACTATATTTGGAATTCGAAATCAAGAATTCAACAAGTACCAAGGAATCATTAGTTCATTCACAAACCACAATTGTGCATGTGTGTCGTTCACGTCGTACCCGTAAAAGTTGGCTTCTGCGTAGCAGAACCAGGCTTCAATGTTTTCTGGCCAGAAGGGCACTAGTTGAAACGAAGGTGGGGGCATAATCGTTAACTTAAGTACCTTAGGTGTCTGTTCAGTCATGGCGAAATATCAAGTACGAGAATGAACGAGTTAAAAAACTATATATCCCAAAACATTAAAAAATATCACAATATATCAAAATTAAAATAAAGTGTAGCGGCAAATAAATCCCCAGAAGAAATAGATCTAGAAGTTTTAGACATTGGGCGCTGACCACATGTTTTAATGGACTCACCTAGCTGAAGGCGCTCGGTCATGCATCCGCACCAGATCACGAGTGGGAACGCCGTGCTCAACATCTCCCGCAATCGCTAGCCAGATTAGATCAGACGATTCTCGATATATGGATATCACATCAAATATATATTCCAATCTCCTCGATTCTGTCTTTTGATTTCTCTTGGTGGGTACGAGTTATATTAGAAGGTGTTACTGGTTAAAGCGTTGTCAAACACTGAATACTTGTGACATTTTCAAAAGCAATAATATACAGATGTTCAAAAAGGAACAAACTCACAGTTTGCAATTTATTGTACGAGATCACGTCAGGCTTACCGATGAAAAAACCATAGGTATCTGGAGTTTGACAACGCTTTACCCAGTAACACGTATTACGAATCATACCCACAGAGTGAAATCATAAGACAGAAGAGGGGGGTTAGAAGATATATTTGATAGACTATCGATATATCGAGGATCGTCTGATCTAATCTGACTAGCGATTGCAGAGGTTGTTGAGCACGGCATTCCCACTCGTGACCTTGTGCGGATGCATGACCGAGCTCCTTCAGCTAGATGAGTCCATTAAAACTAATGTGTTCAGCATCCAATGTCGTAGACGTACAGGACTATTGATTTTGAGGATTTTTTTCACCGCTAACAATCGATTCGGCTTTGGAAAGTTGTGAAACAAGTACAATTTTGCCATGTATATAGTTAACGAAACATTTACAACGATAAAAACTTATGGACAATATATATATATATATATATATATATTTACTTGACTTTAATATAGAGCAATACTTATAATCACAGACTACATCGAGAATTTACGTTAATTTACCTCTTTGAAGAGAATTATAATCATCATAGTACCATGTATACTGCTTACAAACATAGTGCGCCAAGTTTTTTTGTCGTTACTTTGTTTGTCCTACAAAGTCGGTGATTGGTTCTGTGTAGGTCATCTAATTGATTGATACGAAAGGGTGTGTTGTTGTCGTTATTTCACATAATGTCTCTAAGTCACTCATTTTCTTAGTAATTGGCTACGTGTTGTAAACTTTTTATGATATATCTGAGCAGGAGGAAATTTTGTTCAGCCAAAAGGTTAGCGGCGTCGCCGTCGTTATTGGTCGGGCCTTTAGGACCTAGCAGTTGGGAAACTCCAGTTTTGGCTTGACGAAGAAAGGCTGTACTGCGGAATAAGCTTTTCGGATTGGAGACAAATTTATCCATAAGCTTTATCTGGTACTGGAGCCTATCTTCTCTTATAGCTTTGGTGCATATGCATGTTTGTATTGTCTGTTCGCGCCATTGTTGTCAGTTCGTTTGTATTCTGCCCAACAGTGCCTTTTGCGGCTTAGCAAGCGAAGAGGTTGTAGGTTGCTTGTAGCTGTTGGAGACCGTTTAAGGGACTGACTGCTTTGTAGTACATAAGAGCGTGTACATCAAGTTGAGGGTGAACATCCCAATCCACTTGTTGTAGATGGTCCTGTAGAGCTGACACATTCAACCGTTTGGAATTCCAGCACCTGTTGTTAGTGGGATATCTTAGCTCAGTTTTGCTGACAAGACTGAAGGCTATAATGGTGTGATCGCTTTTTCCCAGGGGAGCCAGGATAGAGAGGTCAACTTGAATTTATCTGTTTGTAAATACCCAGTCTAAACGCGACAGTATCTGACTGTCTTTCCAACGAGTTGCGGACTTCACATTTTCGTGTAATCTCAGATCCTCATTGAGGTTGAAGAACCGAGCTTCAGTTGAGCTTTCACCTCCAATATACGTATATTCCGCGAAATTGACTCTAGGGAAATTAAAGGCCCCTAGAATCAGGATATGAGTAGATCCGAGACGCGTAGAGCGGAATAGTCCTCCCAGCATATGACTGTCATACTCGATGTCAGCAGTGGGCTTCTCATAGATGACCCCGACTAGGCACCTCGAAGTAGTAGACAATCTTACAAGGCACCATACAGGTTCATCAAGATTTTTGAGCTCATGGTTGTAAATTTGGTGTACCTCCTTCTTGGCTAGTCTCGTCACATGTTGAGTTAGTATGTTTTTGAGCCTCAAGGACTGATTGATGAATTTCCATTCCCTAATATCATAGTTTGCTTGACTAGGGTCCGTGTTTTTCGGTACACTTTGCACAATGATATTTCTTCCGCGAAAAAACTTCCGAGATTCTTTAGGGATGCTCCGGATGAGATTGCGCTCAGAATACGGTATGTCGGGCAGTATTCTTACTTTCCCATCGGATTTCATTAAATGACTAGCTAGCAGCACATCCTCTGCGTCGGTAGCGTTAGCGAGTGTAACAAGAAGTAGCATCGAGTGATTTTGATGCTTAGATTCTTTTCCCCGAGTGAGCCATGTGACCGTCAAAGGCTCTATTCTAGAAAGTTCAAGCTTCTTATTCAATTCTCCCCAGAGCATCCTGTCATTTTTGCCCTGCAAACTGAGGGGCAGGTCAGGGTTGTCTTTGAGGTTCATGATTATGAGAAAGTCATCACGAATTGTTATTGTTTTCCCAGGTCTTCTGCTGCATTCAGGTTCAGCACCTTGTTGCTTGGAGGTCGAAGTACGTTTCTGATTCCTAGGTTCTTTGATGACCGGACTTACATTCCTGGGGGTAGACTGTGTAGTCAAATCACTAGTTGATTTCCGTACAGTACTTGGAATATTCAGTTTAGACGGTGACTCCTGCTCCTTTTTAGCTCTGTTAACGTGGGTCCAATCACCTACAGAGTTTTTGGGAACCACTGTTGCTTTCACGGACCCTGAGCTGGGAGACCCGATTTTGCTGAGGGAGTCTATTACCGTCAAAGTTATGATAGTGCGGAGTTTCAGCATGTCATCACTAGTGCTAATGCATGCTCCATCGATAGTAGACCTGTCGACATCCTTATTCGTGTTTTCATTGCGCGTCCTTGTTTGTCTACCCGTTTTATGACTGTCTTTTTCCAAGTTTGCTGACAACTTATACCGCAGACCTGTAAATAGGACAATGATGTTACTCAGCAAAACTACAGAATCCGTGTTGCGTGTAACACATACCCACTTATGACCCGACTTGCTGAGTTTGTTGTAAGCAGTTGCTAGGAGATCGTTGCACGCTTCATGGAACCAACCTTTGCGGTTATCGCACTGCATGCCAGATATAACAACAAGACGGAATCCAGGTCGTTTGCATGAATTTTTAATGAATATATTTACGTAAACTGTATTATAGATGCTAGCGAAACCCTAAGACCGTTAAAAAATACACTAAAAAGCACTAAAAACGGGCAAAAATGGATAAAAATGGATGTGATAAACTGAACTAGCCTTTACGTGAAAAACTAAAAGAAAACTAAACAGTAAGCTGAGGCAAAACCACAGTTTACTATTAAATTGGGTGAGCCTCGAAAAAAGTAATCTACCGAATGTATGGTTTAGAATAGATTCATTAGATCAGAAATGGTACTTTTGTTGCGTAATTACACAGCAAATGTTTGAGAAATGCAAACCACTTTAGGACTGAACTTCTCGTTTGAATCTCATATTCCGAATGGGGTCTCACGAAAGTCGGGTATAATACTCTGTAGATTTCTTCTTTCAAGTACTGAGAAGACCTACGAATAGCCCATAATACCCTAAAGCATTTGGAAACAGTAGCCTTGCAGTTGCTCGTAGTTTTGAGGTCGTTGCTTATTATAACTCCTAAATTTTTATAGTCCATTACTTTGGGCAACACAACTCCACGTATTGTGTAGTGATATGAATCATCGTAGTTATTTAGTTGCATCACCACACTTGTTAGAACTTACTTCTAGTAGCCGCCCGCCCTTCCACCAATGGATTGAGATCATCCTGTATTACTATCCTACCTGACATACTGTTTATGGGTCTCCAAATCTTTATGTCATCGGCGAAGAGTAGGACGGTTAACTTTGTTACAGTTAGTAATTCATTTACATAAAACTTAAAAAAAGTTAAAAAAAAGAGGACCAAGAATTTTACATTAGGGAACTCCACTTTTTACAGGTTCATATAGTGAGAGAGCTCCATTTACTCTTACCCACTGTCTCTTATCATTGAGAAAGTCACTTATCTAGTCTATGACCTTATAATGGATTCCAAAACTTTCCAGTTCTAAATTAAGACTCTGATGGGAGAGCTTGCCAAAGGTTTTACTTAGATCTATGGAAATTACTCTACAGGAATACTTCAATCTTTTGCTGCAGCCCAATCTTCTTTTACAATGAGCAGATCTGTCGGGCATGATAGGCCTTTTCAAAAACCGTGTTATTCCCTGTATAAAATATTATGCCCTTCCACATAGTTTATAACAGCCATCCATTAGTTTTACAACTGCACTGGTTAGACTAACGGGACAACAGTTACTAAGTCTCTGCTCCTCTCCTTCTACACTGGACTAATTATTGCGTCTTTCCAGTCTTTTGGCAGGGCTTTTATAATCCTAGGATAAATATCGTCAGGACCACTGAACTTTTCAGTGTTGAGATTTTGAAGTAGTCTTAAGACAGTACCTTTCTCACTAACTACAGGATCGTTCGACCAGCCTCCCCAATCACAATCGTTGGTCGTTCCTCATTGTCTTTTCCTACGTCTAAGAAGTTTCTTGACTTGTTTAATTGTCCATGATGGACAGTTGTTCGGTCTACGTGGTACTAGGCATGGTATAGACGAGGATGTAACTGAACTAAGCTCACCTCTAAATATAGACCATGCTTCAACTGATGATCTATTATCTACTGCTTAATCTGTCTTAGCAGCGTACTCCTGAATGACGGGTATGTTAGCTCTCCATACATTCGGGTGAGGCTTAATCTGATCGTATATCATGTCACAATCTCTAAACATGAACAACAAAACAGAGTTATCGCCATTTGCTAACGGTGGTAGAATATTTAGATTGGCAATAGCCTCAGTTTCATGAGTGATTACCAAGTTTGAGAAAAAAGAACTTTGTTTTGAACCGAAACGTGTGGGTTCGGATATATGCTGTACTAAAGCATGCTCCATTACCGTTATGTGGAACAAGGGAAGATTTAGTTTAGCCAGCCTGTCATCATACGGGAGTTTTACGGTTCTGAGAATTAGCTTAATTACTGTTCTTTGAACGTTTTCTAACAGCTTACTGTCTGTTTTTGGACATGGGCCAGCTGCTTGTATACAGCACTCGAGTGTAGGACGAATGAATACCGTTTACAAAGTCAAAAAGGCTTTAGTATCGATATGACTAAAGGCTCTACGTATTGACCATAGGATTTTAAAACCTTCGGCGCATATCACACGGCAGTGTTCAGTAATTTTCAAGTCTTGGCTGACGTTGTTTGTCTGGAAAATAGGTAGCTCAGTGTCACTCACTGTATCTGTTGTATCTTGCGAACCCAGTGGTTCCATATATTGGGGGTTTGTGACGTCATCCTCATAACAGGTCAAAATGAGACTTAGCGAGGGTGATTCGGAGTTCGGATCGTACATAGTTCCTTCTTTCGCATGTACTGGGGCATACAAAACCCACATCAACTAGTTTTTGTTAGAAAGAATTTTTTAACAACTCAGTCCTCAAATTTTTGCAGTCTATTGTGGGTACATTAAAGTCTCCTAAGATTAAACATCGACCACTTGACGGCCAAGTGTTGGAACTGTCTAGTGAGACTTCATTCACGTCACAGTTTGGACTGCGGTAAACTAATGAGCAGCTGTTGTCTTTCGCATTTCAAGCGGCAACTAACTAATTCATCCATTCCACTTTCAGAGAATATGTTATCGACGACGGCAAAAGGAATATTTCTAATGAACAAAACTACTCCTTTATGCTTCTGGGTTCTGTCAGCTCTTACTAATATGGAAATTTCAAAATCAAGTTCCCTACTGTCTACAAGTTGTGTCAGCCAAATTTATGTAACGGGGATTACACTCGAAACGATTGTCTCTCTGTACTTATTTACTTAAACAAATAAACATTGGTACAAGGCACCAAATAGATATGCCCCACATGAACCATACGATTTGTGTGAGGGCTGGGATACTATCCGCACACCCAAACCGAAGCAGGTGGTCTTCTTAAGAGACCACACCCGGAACCTTTGACCCAAAGGTCTGATCCACAAGGTAGTGGATCAACGTCTGGAGATGCAGTCCCATCGTAGCCGGTCACCAACGATTGTTTCATACTCCATTCGTTCCCTCAGAATCCTGGAGCCCATTTACACCATTGGTTTGAAATCCAACTCCCCTAGGTGGACCCTCCGTGTCCCTTTCATTGGTATTGAAATACTAATTTCAACAGCATAGTTTGATTTTCTTTCAAGTCTGCTTGGCTACCTAGTCGATAAACTTTCAGTAAGGCGACCCCAGAGATATCTTCATACAGTAGTTGGTTAATTAGACATTTTATCAACTCAATGTCATGCTCAAAGCATTTTCTAAGTTCAAAGCTTTCACTCTCCTTGACTCACAAAGATGACTGCCTTGTCACTATGATCAGCCTTTGATTTCTCAACTACTGTTCAGGAGACTGTCTTTTTTTATCAATATTAGGTTGTCTCTTATTCTTGATTTGTATCCATCCATCGGCTTTCACTAGAGTTACAATCACAGTTGCGTTAAACATACTGTAAGATCCTCAATGATTGTCGATGACTTAGGTGACCAGGTTGTTTTCTGTGCTGGAAACGGACCTAGCTTTACGGATTAGGCTTTTTAGGTGTCTCCTGACTGCTCCCACTTGGAGTGCAGGGCACAGAAGAAACCTTTCTCAGGTTGTTATTTTTTACAGACCTCTTTGAAGTCGCTCCTTCCGCCTTTGGTGCATGTAGTTCAGTGGATTTTGGGCTGGGATGATTACACATCGGTTTGTGAATTGACAGAACCTTCTAATTTTAGTCTTCAAATCCAGTCTCTAAATTTTTGTTACAGCATTGAACCTGCTACTTAAAGTTATTTTCGCTCAAGTTACATGCAGCTTTCTCCGTTTTCAATCAAGTAAGCCAAATTTCTTTTCATTGTGTAGCAATTTGTTTGTAGTTTTGCGACAGATAACATCAACTTCAGCTCATAACAACAGTAACGCGTTTACAAATTTCATTCACTCGAGATATCGTGAGGTCAAGTCCGCAAAACCGGAGCTATCAAATTATGATGTGATCAGAAAGTTAGCACAGTTGTACAAATCACTTCCAGTTGAAGAGGTAGAAAAGTTAAAATTAGAAGCGAAAGAACATCAATCTCATGTCAAAAAAGCGACCAAGGTTATTTTTTTAACTGTTTATTCTCTTGATTTATCACTTGTTGATTTGTTTTGTGAAAGAATTTAATATTTTCCTTACCGCTGGTTTTGAGGATGTAAATGGTGACGTCGCTCTGTTCCTGTTGCGGGGAATAGTTGTTGATGTTTGTAGTGTTGTTGAGATATATACTGTAAACTTAAAACAGTTTTCTTTCCTAGAAGAACTCATAGCAAATATGTTTTCATACAGTTAGTCATATTATCTCACAATCGCAATATGACTACCAAACGCTTCGAATATCATCGGTTAGTGAAACAAGGTTGGTATGAAACAGTAGTAAGTATACCTCCGCGAAGTTTTTATTTGAATTCTTGATATTTGTTTCTCAATAAGAATTTGGATTTAAGATATTCAGTGTCTCTGTAACATGAACATTAGATTCATCCTTTGAAATTACTGTGATATAATTAATACTTTTCAGAAATCAGAATAGTAACGGCAAACTGGGACTTTTAAATAAATTCGGTCCTGTTATTAAATACCACATGTATCTTATCACACATAAAGTGTTTTTGCATTCTTTACTTATTCCAAAAAAGTTAAACTTCAGGAGTTTGGTTTGGTATACTAATCTGATTACTAATTTAAACCATATAAAATACTGGGTAGTCTACTAGCGATTCTAGTGTAACTAAAATTGGTATTTAAACTAGCGGAATGTCTGTATTAGTTATCACTCTACGTTTATCAGTAACTCATATTTCTCGTTTATTCTACATTCACATTTCAGTGTGACACTAAAATGTTTTTCAACTTCGTTGATAATCACTATTTTCTATTGGTAGCATGATGTTTGAAGCTTTAAAAATATAATCTAGCATCGTTTCGATCAGTAGATTGATTTCTCTATCCATGGATAACTAAACCGGAGATTGAAACTAACTACATCACTAGTTAAAATTCAATCACGAACATGATATTTTGTTTCTCAATGTCATTCAATACCTGTACACTGTTCTTTTTCATTTTGATTTTCTTATGGAGTAGTTTTATTGCTATATGTTATGAAATAATTTTTCACTGTGGCAATTTTAGTTTGCTTATCGTAATGGAATGCCAAAAAGTCCACCAAACTCTGGACTCAAAGTTTTCATGAGAGAAAAACTAAAGGACTCTAAGGTAAGTCACCGTTATTATTTAGATGAACCTATTTAATCGAGATTAAAAATCCTGTGTATATTGTAACATTTAGGTTCTTGTCAGTCAGTCAGTCAGCTGCAACGTAGGACCAGGCACATATATGCATCGGTCCAAGTTGCCACACCTCATTAGTACAACAAGATGAACACCAACTTCATGTTGTAGCCTTTTAGTCTAAAAGCATGTATCTGAATTTGGAATTGAGTGATAAAGGCCTTTATGATTGCATGACTATAAAAAAAACTGTTGGTCAATAGTAGCTTGTTTTTATTTTGCTCTTGACATTTGAAATGAAATATATTATGTCGTGTATTGCAAGTGAATGCGTTTTATTTAAGATAAATTGATAGAATCTGCTTTTATTATAAGTTTCAACAAAATACGCTTTAGTTAACTCGTATAAACTCTATAAGTAGATCTACACACTAGATTTTGAATGTTTTCAGTTATTGTTTGCGGTAAATTCTGTAAACATTTATTCGTTTAATTCCTACTTCTTGACTGCTTGCTTCAAGTTAAAGTTTATCATGCTTATCATGAAAGACTATTTTAAATTTACTTGAATTTGTAAGTCGGCCCCCAAATACGCTGATACGGCCGAGGTTGGGGATAGTTCAGTCTCCCTCTCAGAATGCTCTCACATGGCCACGCGTATATAGCTACTGCCAGGAAAGTCCTACTCACTGCCTTCTTGTGGCGGGGGTGTTGTTTACGAAATTGAGAGGATGAAAAGCGAATGTCTAGTGTTTTAACCGGGATGTTAGATATGGAGGATCCACCTAGGGGAGTTAAAAAACTGATTACAAACCATTTGTGCACATGGGTTCCAGGATCCTGAAGGAACAAATGACGTATGAACCAATCGTTGGTGACCGCCTACCATGGGACTGTATCTCCTGACGTTGCTCCGCTACCTTGTGGATCAGACCTTTAGGTCAAAGGTTCCGGGTGTGGCACCCTAAGAAAACCATTTATTTCGGTCTGGGCACCCGGGCAGTATCATAGTCCACACACAAAACCAAGTGACTTGTGTGGCGCATATGTACTTGGTTCTCCTTTGTACAAATATTTATGTATTCACATAAATAAATAGATAAATAATAAGTTTGACGTTCCTATGCTCTCCAGTAAACGATGTTCGGATGACTGAACAGTAAGGCTTTAATATTTGCGTAAATCGAACTGGTTATTCTGTCACTATTACAAGACAATTTCGGTTTTTTCCAGAAACCGAAACTATCGATAATCGAGATCAATCTATTGGGAAAGTTTTCGGTTAATCTGACTAGAATTTCTTGAGTTTCACTCTCAAAAATGAGCCAAAATGTGCCTTTTGTTCATTTAGCTTCACCTTTTTGGTTTCCCACAGCCTTAACTTCGCTGCATGTTTAGGACAGGGTGTGATTTTATCATCTTATTAAGGTTTTGACTAGGTCGCTCATTTTTTATGTTACTGTTCCAAGAAGCTTTTGGTAACTCGTATTCGATGATAGCTTTAGTAACCATCGCGTTTTCCTGCCTGGTGTAATTATTAAGACTAATTAGCTTTTACTTGTCTTGCCTTATCTACCCATAGCCTTAACGAATCTACACGTATCCTAAATTTTTTCTCATCTCGAACTCTGCTAGCATGCGTGTTCGGACCTAGATAAATTGGTACGATGCTGCCGCGATCTCCTCATCTTTGAGAAACTTCCGTCTTAAGTTATAACGTGTCTTTACTTCTGTTACAGTAGCAGGCTAAATATTTCAAGTGAACTCATGTTAATATTCCTTTAACAAATCCTCCCATACACTTGATCTAGTGCTGGAAACGGTTTTAGGGAAATTTTTCAGCTGCCTGTTCCGTGCAGTCGAATATATAGGGATGCAGATAATTGTGTGATTGCAGTAGGTACTTCAAAAGTGAGATACATTTTATTTGAGTCCATTTTCAACTATGATTAATCTCAAATCTACTCATACTTATCTCCGAAATGTTGGTTTTGCGTATACCCTTGTGAACCTCGAATAAAGAATGCTGTCTAACATTACTGGTTTCCTGAGTATTACTAATTGGTTGAGGTTTCTCGACTTACTAACTACACTTCTCGCTTAGTGGTTTAACGTTTATTTTGCTAAGTTTTATCTAACTGATTTATGGTGGAATAATTAAAAGTTTATGCAACGATTTCTTAAATATTGTTTCTTATGCACGTAAATCTGTCAGTGAATATACCATATCAGTGTAATTTCTAACTAACCAATTGTTCCCATATTAAATCATTTTTGATTCGCATAAGAACAGAAGAAAACAGTGCATCTAATGTGTCCACCTGTGATCCTTATGACGACCAGATGCAACATTTATCACGGGAAATCGCTTTGTGACTTGTTTTGTTGTCATTCGTTTACTTGATGGGTATCAAGAGTCACTGTTCGAATGGTTTATTAACGATCAAGATGCTTCTCAACTTAATCACAATATGAATAAGTTTTTTTACAGTATCATTATGTGTACAAACTGGGGTAAATTGGCACCATCTAAATGATCATCCATGTTTTTTTTTAGAATACTGGTGGTAATAACTTACTGATATTGTTCTTTTTTTAAACCTTAGTTAACTTCTCCACTTCAACCAATCTCTATGACTACTAGTGTTTAACTACTGTCAGATGTGTGTAGATGATTATCTATCCATGGTTATTTTTTTATTTTTTCAGGGTACACCAGTGTCTCAAATGCGAAATGACTTTAAAGATACTGTAAAACAATGGATGTCGCTGCCTGTCTCTGATCAACTGGTAAGTTGATCAACTGATACACCATGTTGATAACAGATAATACCATTTTTGCTGTTGGATTCAAAAATATCTGAGAGTATAGTTATTCACGTTTTTGTAAAAAAACTGCTTGTGAGTATTTATTTTAACACATAGTCATAAGTTGATACCATGAGAATTCTCATGATCCTTTTCTTTAGTTTAAATAACTATAAAGCCTTCCTTGTCATAGCAGACAATTAAGTTGATGCATGAAGTATTTTTCATCATTATTCTGTATTTGAAATGGTAATGTTCTAGTAATGTTTGTTAAAGTTGTTGTGACCAATTAATTGATTAAGCATTTGTCTTGTTTCTAACATTAAATACTTTTATCAGTGTCTATGCGTACTCTTATTTACCTCCGATAGACTTCTTATTGTTTGGGGGTGTAGCATAATAAATATTGAATTTTTCGGGGAAGTGTTAAGTGATTTCTCATAGCAGTGTCTGTCGTTGAAACGATTACGAAAGAAGTACATAAGCCAGCTGATTGCTTTTATACAAACCACTATCCGTCAAGTCAGAATTTATGGCAAACTCCCATTTGAATTGGCTACATCAAGTGGCGCTCGCTAATTCTTCCCACTTCCCATATTTTCAGTTGATTTTATCATTGTGTGGTGTATGCTACTTATGCTGACAGACATAAGTAGTATGTGCACCAATCAAAATCGGAATGCCTGGCAGCAGAAGATTGAAATGAAGAGAACAAGAAGTAAATCACTACAACAGATGTGCTCATAAAGATAATATTTTTTCCTAATTTGCTGAATTCACCTTCTACCTATAGCGATGTTGATTGACTTGAAATACATGGCTAACGTAGCTATGTCTGGCTTAGTCACTAACCATGTACGAAGTCTTCTAATCGCCCATCGATATCGAAAACATTGTTTCTGTTTTGTTTTGCTTCCTTTTTGTAATTTGACCATAGGAAGTGAAGTAGTTTACTCATATCAAAACTCCAATTATTTCGGGAATGACCAGTTTTAGAGGATCATCGTGTAACAAAATCTTGATATATATCAAAGTGTGTTCAGGTTTGATATGAACAATATATCCACCTACTTATCAAAAGGCGAGTATACAGCTCACTAATCCATTCTCTATTTTATAGCTATGGAACTTGGTTTCTGGAAGTTTAGGATATGTGTAAGTCTCAGGTATTCGATCTTACGTGTCTTCAAAGCATTGCTCACAGCCAGTAAAATCATCTAACGAATGATGTATAAGATAGGCTTAATTTACTAGATAAAGGTGTAAAAGTTGGTTAATGCGTTTGTGAATCTTCATTTGTTGAGGTTGTTAGGATCTGTGTTGGAGATACCTAGCTACTCGCTACAGTTATGATAGCTTGCATAGAAACAGGAAAGGCTTACTGTGAGTAGACTAATATATACCATTACTTAATATTGTTGGTGATCTTATTCTGTCAATCAGTCATAAGCAGCGTACAGCCTTGCATAAATGTGCATCGGCTGTTTCCAAGTCACATCAACACAGAGAGATGAAATTATTATTATGAATACCAAAGTAGTATTAGCGATAGTAAAAAAGATTAGGCATTAAAAATAAGGTTTAAGAAAAAGAATGGATTAGTAAAATAAATTGCATAAATAATTTTAAAACTCAGTATCTAAAGGACCAAAAGAGTATGAATGCAAGTACATGTTCTGCTGTTGCTGACTCTGAATTATTTCATCCGACATCAACCACTGATCATGGTTATCGCGCGGAACTTATCCAGGTTGTCTCCACCTATCTACATGGCTCAATCCAACGGTCAGGGACTTTATATATTGATGCTGTATCTAGATTTCCCTCTTAGCTTACTTTCAACCCAGTTCCTGCTGCAGTTAAAATTATCTGTCTATGTAGGGGATGGTCGAGAATACGCAATACGACCAACCACCTCAGGTAATACGGATTCATAACCTTATCAATTAACTTGGGATCTTTGACTACTAACCCACACTTGACCTCAACATTGTTTACTTTGTTCCACCAGCATACATGAATAATCCCTCAAAGATTCCTATAATCAAGTACCAGTGATCCACTAATATATCTCACTATAATAGGCCATGTTTCATAGTCCTAAAGTAAAACAGAGAAAACTACTGTTCAGTATAGTTGCCCCTTCGTTGTCAGACAGATGCCTCGCCTACATCAGAGTTTATTTAATTTGGCACTATCAAACAAACTTCCTGATTCCTTGTCGGGATTTCGTCAATCGCTAACCTGACAAATTTGATGAAACTATCAAGATATGTTGATAATCTACTGTCATCAATGTACGGTGCGAATCCGCTTGTTTAGTAAACTGAACATTCAACTAAGAATAATATATATTCTGCTTGTTTTTTATTTATTTATAAGTCAGAATATTAGATTGACAATGTGTATGTAGTTCTTTAATTTAATTTTTTATAGTTCGAATCATCCCGTTTTTGATATTTTCAACTAGATTCCGATCAATTTTAGCTGGCATATGTTCCTTTTGTGCGAATTGTTCTGATATTGGCATTATGTTATAAGTTTTTATAGAATAAATAAAATGTAACTGGTAGAGGAGTCCGGAACACTAAATGTAGATACATCTATTTGACGAGTCCAAACTGGGATGAAATGCATGTTCTAGATTTTGGTACTAGTCATGTTCCATCAAGTTAATCTTATACATATCCATGTATCGTTTTAAATATTCCATACTGTTATATTTATTCAATTTTTAGGAGTATAATAACATTGCAAAAGATCTAAAAAATGATTATGAAATTAAACTTAAAGAATGGGCTACAAAAAATAATATTCAATATACAAAACGTATATCAATACTGGCTGATAGATTCTATAGAGCATATTACCCTAAATAAAGAATTCATTTATGATTAATGAAAACAAAGATGAATCAGATTACTACAAAATGTAATATTTGTACTATTTCCACTATTGTTGTTGTTGTTGGTTTCCTTTTTTGTGGTTTTAAATTCTGAAAAACCGATAAATCGATGGTAGTAACCAATTTTTGTGGAAATTATTATTGTCATTTATATATTTGTTTATTGAATCTTTTAGTAATGTGTAGCCTATTTCTTGTTACTCTACTCGCCTATTTCAAGAACATTTTTCTCTCTTCGTTTTTTTTCCGCATCGTTACTCGTTAGATCGTTTTCCTTTTTTTTGTTTTTTGTTAAGCTATTAAATAGTGTTAAAATTTTTTTTCTGTATTCATCTGTCATAAATGTGTAATAACTAATTATTGGTTTGCTTGTTAATAGTAGTTGTGTTCGAATACTAACTCAGTTTAGGGGGATTCGATGTGAATAGGCTCACATCGTTTATTTATTGTACTAGACTTCTAGATTAAGAATACAACAGACAGCTAATTATTCATATTATTTATTTATTTAAATATATAAACGTCAGTTTAAGACCACCAACATATGTATGCGCCACTCAATAAAGATGAGGTTTTTAGGAGATAGAATGTTAATAATAATGATAATGGGGGAGGCAGTTTAGTTAAGAAAAGTACAACCAGAAAGGATTCTTTCAGTTAAAGAAGTTTCACTTATATGAAGCAAGTAAAGGAAAGTTACGGTAGGTCTGCCATTGGCTTCTATTCTGAGCCATGTCTGATTACGTTACAAGTCATTAAATTGGAACTTCTTTACGACTCCGACCAACAGATACTAGTCTTGTGCAGTTTTCTTTCATTCCACAATATGTCATACATCAACCAGCTCTTCGCTTTTTCCAACCAGTGTTGGAAAATAATGCTCGATGTGAAATTCCCTGGGACGATATTCGTAGTACAAGTATAAGTAATAAAATTCGATATTTTAAGATGGGGAAAACAATTGGATTATTGTCAGTTTGCCCTAACCTATTCATTACCAACATGGTGTTGTCACTGAATGTCATCAATCCTAGGAAGACCATGACAATCAAGCACAGAGTTGCTGAAAATCCTCGAATTCGAGAAGTCAGGTTTTGTAAGTATAGAGTGAAACTGCTCTCACTATTGAATTTTAGACCCGACCTTTCACAACCAGACTAACATCATGAAGGTGCCAAATATGGTCCAGATTGGTATAAGCTGTTCTGACTTTCAATGTACGTTAATTGATCTCATCACTTATGTCACCACCCGCATTTACACAGCTACCTAGATAAACGAATTTCTCAACTACTTCTATCGGTTTACTACCCAGAGAGTGGAGGTTCAGGGGCGTGTCATTTTTGCAAAAAGTACTTTGAAATCATATGCCATACCTACGGAACCTGATTCCCAATTGTTTGGTTGTGGATTGCATGACATGAGTATCATTACACAGTAAGATATCATCCGCATACTCATGGTCGACAGACAATCTCCGAGCAGTTATGCGCTTATTACGATTAATAAATTATCATATGTTGGAGTTTTATATTTTACTCAGGTTTTAAAATATTTTATAAATCAAAAAACAAAGGATTTATGATATTTTATGGTTTTGATTTCACGTTAATGAAATGGGAAATCCATCAGGTTATTACACTTTGAAGAAATAGTTGATGAAGATAAGACTTTTATGATTCATGATGTAAATGATATCACATCGTAATTGAGGAAATCTTTAACGTAATCCATAATAGGAAACTTCAATATTATAAGCATAACTGTGTAATAATGTTGGGTTTATAGAAGGATGAAAATAATTTACGGGTCAGATAATTGTCCAATTGACAGATCTGAAGAAAAAACGACAAACATAAAGGTCGTAATAATAGAAATTGAATAATAATCAAGAAGGGTAGTAATAATAATAACTGATTAGAGTCTACAATTACATAACACTAATTTAATAAACCAATAATAATAAAATAAAAACGTAGAAATAAAGGAAAAAGACATATCGAAACATACCACTAAAGGGAATTAAGGCGAAAGAAGGATGAGAGATTGGACGAATCGTTTCTCCATGCAAAGCTCATGTTTGAGTTCGTGGATTGCCAATGTCTCAGCAGTGCATAAAATATTGATCCGACATTCCTTCGATCGGATTTGTTTGACTATGTAGATTATTTTGAAAGAAGACTCCTTTGGAGCGATGTGTACACAGTTGATTAATTGTTTTACATTCTCCTTTTAAAAGCCGTGCCGGATAATGTTCTGAGATGCGTTTAGAGAGTGGTCGCTTTGTGTGGCCAATGTAACCTACCCCACATGAGCAAGTAAATTTATAGATACACATTGATGTGGCACAAAGTGCAGGTTTATCTTTAACACATCCATGAATGGTTGGTCAGTCTGAGAAAACAATTCGGAGCTTTTCTGCGTGGAACGTTTTATTCAACTATTTTGAAATCTGTTTATTTAAGATTCCATAGTCCTAAAAAAATTTTTGTACTGTCGGTGCTTTTTCATGATGATGTCTAGGTGTTAAGTTACTGTCGACAAATCTAGGTGGATAACCGTTCTTAATGAGAGTCTATCGAAGTTGAAGTAGTTCCTCATCTATTGTATCAGTAGGACATATTCGCTTGATCCTTGAGGATGAAGAGTGAATTAAATTCCTCTTTCTACTTCGCGGGACCCAGCTATATGAATTTGTGTACTGCTCATTTCATGTCTATTCTCTACATATAGATCTCTGTAAAAAACCATCCGGTCTTCTCTTCAATCATACATCAAGAATATGAAATTCCTTGTTTGCCTCTGCTTCTAAAGTGAATTGAGGGGTGACATTCATTGAAACTATTCAATTATTTCATTGAGTTCCATGTCTTCACAAATAATGAAAGTATCATCCATATATCTCTTATATAAATGAAATCTCTCAATTATTGGTCGAAGTACCAAATTTTCTAGATTCTCCATGAAACAATCAACTAAGAGTGGACCCAATGGAGAACGTATTGCAACTCCATCTGTTTGTCTATAGAAATCATCATTAAATCTAAATTGCAGGTTGAGTGTACATCGTAGAAGTAGTTCTTTTAGATGATATTTTGCGATAAAAATATCAAGGTTATTGTAGTCAATATAGTCACATAAAAAACAGTTTCTGTGAGAGGAACATTTATAAAAAGAGAAGTGACATCTAATGAGATCATTTTCCTACCATTTACATTGATATTTCTAATTGAGTCAACTAAGGAATCATGATAGTTGTATTTATTGATATCATTTTCAATGGGTTGCAAAATATTAGCTAACCATTTAGTAATCAGGTAATACGGAAAGTTGTTCATATCAAGTATAAGACGTATAGGGACATTATTCTTATGAACTTTTGGGTGTCCTTATAGTCTTGGTATGACGGTAACCGATGGTTTAAGATATTCATAGAGGTCACAAATGATAATAAACTCATCTTTCATCTTTCTTAGGATTTTAATTAGCATCTCTTCCGTTCATTCAGTTGCGTCTTTTTTGAACGGTTTCTTGGGAGAATTTGACAGGATCAGATAATATCGAAGATAGTTTGGTGACATAGTCAATACGATCCATAAGGACAATTTTCGCACCCTTGTCTGGGCGACATATCACTAAGCCCTGATTTCGCCGAAAACCAGATAATTGAGGCTTATGCTCTTGTGAGTAATCGACTGATTGTAAGTATTTTGTTTACATATTGATTACAACAGTCTACATGAGTTGCTTTGGAATGCTTATGATCTTAATTGGATATTGAAATAAGGTCACTTGTCTTTATCCTTATTCAATGATACAATGGGTTATTTTAACTTTGTTATAATTAATTCAGTCAGTTGAAAGTATAGCTAGTATCACAGTGAATGGGAAAACCTAAATTAGGATTAATTCACTTGTAATAAATTTCAGATGATTTTGTGAACTTCTTTTAAGAAATTTAAAACAATTAGTCCCTTTGATAAATTTCGATAATGTAATGAGAAGACGAAGATGAGTTTATTATCATTTGTGACCTCTATGAATATCTTAAACCATCGGTTACCGTCATACCAAGACTATATGGACACCCAAATGTTCATAAGAATAATGTCCCTCTTACCTTAAACCTACCCTGATAATATTGACTTATTATCCAGAGTGATTAGGTTTTAAATTGTGTTCACATTATTATTATTACTCTTATCATTATCCTTATCTCCTCTTACCCCGTTCCCAGTCTAGTTGACCTTTTATTTTTATATATAAATTATCTTAACTACTATTTAATGTCTGATCAGATTGTTCGAAATGTATTGCGCTAATATATCACATAGTTCTGATAATCTTCGCCTTCTCATTACATTATCGAAATTTATGGGCTTCGTTTTTGGGGTAAAGTAGGTTGGTTCAAGTTCACTCTTGGTTATCTTCACGTTAAACTGGTTTAATATCCAGTATTCTCATGGAGTGTGTTGAGCTCCTTTAAACGTATATCCCACTAGGAAATTAAATCTTTAGTGTTCTACCTTTCCAGTTAATGTGTGTGGATATACCTTGGACATATTGTCGACCTGTAGAGATGTAAGATTAATACTGTCTTCGAAACACGCATACAATATCTTAGTGTGGTCATTCACTTGGCCTCACCTCGGCAAAACGGAGAGCCAACGAGATACACCCTACGTGTATCTGGTGACCCGATGGCCAGTTCTCGTGGACTGGTGGGTGTAGGCATAGCACTAAGCATGAGGACCGAACAAGCACTGCTAGAGTGGATCCCCGTCAACAGTTGTCTATGTGCTGTTCGGCTAAACGGCTACGTAAGAACTCGGAAGGATAGGGACACACGTCGTTGCCTTTTCGTCGTTTTTGCCTACGCTCCCACCGACTGCAGCTCAGATGAATTGAAAGATGAATTTTACAGAAAGCTGTCCGAACTCCTTCAGAAACCTAAACGCTCAGACATAGTACTCGTAGCAGGTGACTTTAATGTCCAGGTAGGTAGCTTAAACCAAACAGAAGGACATTTAGGCGGGTATTTTAGTATCCCGGCTCAGCGAACAGTTAATGGTGATCGTCTGCTACAAATGTGCTCGGGCAATCGCTTATTTTTAGCAGACACTAACTATAAGCATAAGGAGAGACATCGTCTAACATGTCGACCCCCTACACCAAACCAACGATGGACTCAAATAGACCATATTGCCATCAGTCATCGTTGAAGAGGGTCGATAGAAGATTGTCTATCGTTCTGGAACAACTATTTGGACTCCGACCAGGTTCCAGGAACAACTGAAATCACACTTAGGTGGTTCTGAAAACGACGCCGACCCTTATGTTGCTTGGAAAGATATACAAGCAGCTGTGGAAACAGCAGTGACATGTCTATTGCACTGATAGATTCTCGTAAACTCATCCCATCAGGTTCTGAACACGAAGGGCGAAAACAAATAAGATCTAGGTTAAGCAAAAGTCTAAGGAACGACCGTGAGCAGTGGTGGGCAACGAAAGCAGAAGAGATGGAAAAGGCATCGGCTGTAGGTAACACCAGAAAGCTTTTCAAACTAATAAAAGAAACTGGAATAAAGGAGTCAAGTGTGAGTGAGATGATCTCGGGAAAAGACAACAATCTTATCTGCTCTCAATCTAGACGTTAAAAACGATGAGTGGAACACTTTAAGGAGCAGTTCAGTTGGCTTTCAGCTACTCTACAATTACCCACCATTCCCAAACAACTTGAATGGAACACTGAAGTAGGTCACCTGACTCTAATTGTACTTCAAAAAGCTGTAGCTAATCTGAAACGAGGAAGGGCAGCTGGTACAGATGGATTGGCTCCGGAGGTTCTTGAGGATGGTGGCCCAGTTTTGGCGATCAGGTTGACTACTATTTTAGATGAAATCTGGGAGTTGGACGTAATCCCATCTGACTGGTCACAATCACTGATCGTCCCAATACATAAGAAGCGGTCAAAATCATCCTGTGATAACAACATAGGGATTAGTTTGGCTAATATAGCATCTAAAATACTAGCCTCATTAGTTATCGGAGGCCTAACAAAGACTCGTAAACTGCAAACACGAGAAAACCAGGGTGGCTTCAGATCTGATTGTGGCTGCATCGATCACATATTCACCATTCTTCAGTCTCTAGAATGCAGACATGATTATCGACGTCCAACAATTGCGGTCTTTCTTGACATAAAAGCAGCATCCGATTCTGTAGACCGAGAGGTTCTGTAGCAGTGTCTGTCATTAAATGGCGTGCCTCAGAAGTACATAAACCTTGTGAAGGCTCTTTACTTGAACACTACAAGTTGAGTCAGAGCTTATGGCGAACTGTCATCTGATTTTTCAACCTCAAGTGGTGTCCGTCAAGGCTGTCTATTATCCCCATTTTTCAGCTTCATCATAGACCTACTGATGAAAATAACGTTCTTGTCAACTGGATTTTCGAGCATTGATCTACCAGGAGGTCCACTTATCGACATAGAATACTCAGATGATATAGTCCTGTTTGGTGAAGACGCTGATCGAGTGCAGTCTTCTGATAGCACTAGGCAACAATTCCAGGATGTTTGAAAAGCGTTTCTCCTCCTCTAAATGCAAGTTGTTGCATCAGGACTGGCTTGTTTCAACACCTGAACTAAGGATAGGGAGTGAAGTAGTCGAACGCATTGACAACTTCACATATCTTGTAAGCCTGATCAGCACTAATGTGTTGGTGTTTGACGAAATCTCAGCACGGATTCAAAAAGCTTGTTCGGCTTTTGCTAACTTACGTCACCTATAGCGAAGGCGGGATATCCGTTTATCAATTAAAAGAACGAGTATGCTGTGCGGCAATTCGTTCTGTCCTACTTTACGGCTGTGAAACGTGGCCACCATGAGTAAAGGATACTCGTGAGTTACTAGTATTCGATTACTGAAGTCATACAAATACTGTTCGCATATGCTGGGATCACCGGGTAAGTAGTAGTGAGGTTATATGTAAGGTATTGGGGAATGATGGTAAATCAGTTGACGAAATTGTAAATCTTCATCGGCTGAGATGGTTAGGCCACATGTTACATATGTTTGAATACCGATTACCACGACTAGTGTTGGGGATGGTTGGGAGAAAGTTAAGGGTGGTCAAACTAGCCAAAAAGTGGCATCAGTCATTGAGATCACTAACTTCTAGTCTTGATATGTTGATTGATGCAGACTACTTGGTTGGTGTCCGCGAGACTATAGTAATCAATGGTTGGATACTGTGAGTGACATGACTCAAAATCAAGCGTATACGCTCTCTGTCTTCCCTTAAACTAAGAGATTAAATTACCTTATACCCTTATTTCTACGAACTAACTCTTTCTTCCTGTACTGTATTCTTGTGCACAATCCTTGTTTATAAATCACTACCATTGAATTAACTACTTCTATAAATATGATGTTGATCTTGTTGTGTTAGTGAGGTGTTACAACTTGGACCGATGCATATTTGTGCCTGGTCTGACTAATTTACACTGTGTATCTCGCGATTGATTTCTAATCTGTCTTTCGTAGTACTGGATGAAATCACCACTGAAATGAATTTCAAATCTAGTATCATTAAGTCAATAACTATTGTTCTGATCTGCGTAAGTAAACGTAAACTACAGAGTCAAGATCCTTTCAATTACCGAAATCAATAGTTGTAGACCATGAATGACAGTTCAGAATCAACACCAAATAGCTCAAACACTACTTATTACTCATTTTCTCCTGAACCCTAAATTTCAAAATTATCTTGAATATTTTATTCCACGAATTCATAATTTCTTTTTGGTTTAAGTTCAGTATATTCATTTTATTATTGACATAGTATACAAAATAAGTGTTAGTTTCAATAGTTGAGATCATGAGTCAATTGAAGCTAAACAACCATGGAAAACCTAGAAGCACTAGACGGCCGTTTCGTCGTATTATGAGACCTCACAGCATTACTTATCCATGACCCCGCCTAGCGAGTTTGGAATCTAGGACCTATTAGTCTTACGCGCGAGCGCTTAACCTCGATACTAATGAGCCGGTATCCGATGATTTTAATGCCTAACTTCAATTAATCCACAAAATTGAGCCACACATCCCCCATTGTCATCAGTAAGACTGATAGGTCTTGGGGTTGAATCCCACGTGGCGGGATCTTGGATACGTACCGCTGTTGAGTTCTACAATAAAATGAAACATCCATCCTATTCTTCCAGATTTTCCATGGTTGTCTAGCTTCAATTAACTCATATTCACAACTATTGAAATGACTACAATCTCCAGAGAACCTCCTTTCTGAAAATAAATATTAATCCAATTTTATTGTATGATATCTATTATAATTTTGAAAAAATTTTTTTAAAAATATACATCATCATTCAAATTTGGTAACTAATTACTCTGAATTGAATCAATAAAATGTTCATATTACAAGAAAAGGGAAGAAAGGTAACTATTCAATTACTGTTATTAACAGTTTACGGTTAATAGTTTAATGAATTGGTTTATGAAATCTATAAATTTAAGGAATAAAAAGAAAACAATACTTGTAATGATAGATAAGGAACAAATAATTAATGATAGTAAAGATAGACAGTAGTGGAATTTAGAATGTGCGTTTCATTGTATTTGAGATTCGTCAGCTAGATATATCTGCATCTCAAAGAGTTGATGTTCACTCTGGGACTCGAACGCCAACACGTTATCTACTTATCTACTGAATCCTGATAACCAATTGTTGTACCCCAAAAACGCTGATCACTTATACTCGGAATGAGGGACCACAGCAATTCCCCCAATGCGAAAGTAAGAACACAAGACTGGTGTAAGTGAATATTTATTAGCCTCAAACACTATGACGACCACGAATCGAATCTAGTCTAAAATACACCTGTTTATAGATTGATTGTACACCCATTTTGATTAATAATTAGGATTAAATCACATACTCAATTATAACAAATCACTTACTGAGCATAGTTCATGTCAACTGAATACAAGAATATCGTATATTATACAGAAGAAAATATCATACTGGGCAAACAATCAAATACTACACTGAATGATCCTCATGTTGAATCAAAACGAATGTTGAATGTTGAATAAAATTCATAATGAGTAATTCAATCGAAAATTGATTTTTTCCCCATCATATCAAGCAATAATTAATCTACTGAAGTATAACTTGGGTTCTAACATGGGGTGAAGTTTAAATTCATTTGGTAGGTAAGTGAATAATAATGTGACGTTTGAAGCGAACGGTATCGAGTTCGAGTCCAAGAGTGAATATCAACTCAGATGAAGATACATCTAGCTGACGAGTCTTAAATAGGACGAAACGTGTCTCCTGGATTCCATTGCTAGGCACTATCTATCTTTACTTATAATGCATATGATTTAAGGCAATATCGAAGCAATACGCACAGTATGCACGTATGCCAATAAGAGACTGATCAATTACAGTGCCGAACATCAATGGGAAGATTCAAACAAATAATACCAAGTGGATGTAATTAACGATAGTGTTATTCTGTAAACGTTCATTTCCGAATCGAATCTAAAGATGGTTTTCAGGATAGAATGATGATTGGTGGAATCCTGGTAGTGTGTTTCGTCTTAATTGAGACTCGTCGATTGAATCTACCCTCAGTTCAATGTTTAGGTATATATTAAAATTTAAACTTTATACCTTTTTCTTCAAATGTTAAAACATTATCTATTGAGCTACTAAGACTGGATTATCACTAATTTATCTAATGAATATGAGAGCCCTAACCTAAAACTTATCTTAATTCTCTCTAAATGATCATATGCTAAGAGTGATTAAGATTCAGTCACTAATGTTAACAACAGAAGAATTTAGATCCTTTCTACACATAAAAGACGTTGTAATCTATCTACAGTTAGCTATCTTTCATCTGATTTACATACTCTGACTTAATAATTATCATATTTCTAAGGGATAATTATGACGGATTGATGTTAGCTGCTATAGTATTAAGAACCAAGGAGAATTGCACAGCTTTTCAGCCTCAGATTGAGAATTTTCAACAGTAATCATCCAGGACCTCAATTGGATCTTAAAGTTGTACGACAAGTGCGTAACTTTTATTCTTATAACTACTTCACATTGTGATGATTCCCTCACTGACTATACAGATGTAAAGCACGGTAACTTCAACTGCTTCAGACATAGGCAATGTTCTAATTGTTTTGTGACTGATTCATTAGATCAAAGATTTCTACTGATCACTGATAACTAAGTATGTTATCAGAAAATGAACAGAAAATTGCATTATTTCCAACATGGTAATTACATACTAAGAACACAATTTAAACATACACATGAAACTAGTTATACATTGATTGCAGAGAATAAGTACTTTTTTTCGTTAATTGATTGCCATTAAACTGATCAATCCAACTATCATGTAGAATATTCGTTGACATTTTAAATTTGTAGCTGAGAGCAGAATTTTAAGAAACAAAAGATAGAGAAAGAAAATCAACAAACGTTGTGAGTGAATATCTCAATGTAGAATAGTTATACTAAAAGATATTAAGCGCTCGCGCGCGAGACTGATAGGTCTTGGGTTCGAATCTCGTGAGGTGGGATCGTGGATGCGTACTGCTGAGGAGTCACATAGTAGAACGAAACGGCCGTCCAGTGCTTACAGTTTTTCCATAGTGGTCTAGCTTCAATTGACTCATGACCTCAACTATTAAAATTAAATAGTATTCATTTAGGATATTCTATTTTCAATCTACTACTCACAAGATTGATCCTTCACAAAACAATTTCCATCTCCATACCAAAATGTGTCATTCATAGACAAGTAAACGAACCGAAGAGTGGTTTATGCGTTACAGACAAAACGGATCGATTGATAGATGAATGAGTGAAGGACAGAAACCTTCATCATTGGGTCATTGGTTCAAATCTTGCTCCATTTAATTCAGTTTTTTAATTAAGCAGGATCCCTAGTTCATACATAAGATGTTTCACCCATAGTCAAGTAACCAAATCATAAATGAACTAGGGTTTAGAACATGGAAAATTGTATTTCAACTTGAAGATCGTAGACAAAGATAATACCTTTCCAACACTCCTTGGTTTTTAGTGCTTCTATAGTTGACGCCAGTTCATGAGGATAATTAAAGTGTCATTGTAAATCATCTTTGAAAAAGAGATGTAGTAAGTCCATCTTATTGTAGAATAAAAAATATTGGGAGATTATACGATTAAGTGTTTAAAAGAGAGAAATTGAGCCATAAGTATGTATACTCTAAATCATTTCAATGACTAATCAAAGAAATACTTATAATTCAAAGGAAGATAACGTGAAATAACAAATTACAATGAAAATCATTCAAGTGACTTATTATCAGGTAAATATTTCAAAAATGGTTACCTTTTTTAAATAGGTTGTTACAATAAATACCTGTGATTTGAGACATATAAAGGTAACTGCACCCGCTTTGATGCTATTATTATTAGTCTTATTCTGATGAGATTTATATAACTGATACAAATGAGTGAGAAGCCGTGACCGGTGGAGGTCAATTTTGTCGAGTGTAAGGCAGTTGCCTACCGAAGACAGTGGGAGATGATCGCTCATTATCCTGGAGTGATTGGAGTTTGACACCAACACTACCAGATGCCATTTAGTGGTCTGTAGGCTAAGCGCTTATGTTCAAGACTCAAGGTCCTGAGTTTAACTCATGCGTGTGGGCCCTTAATTAGACACTGATGACAAGTTACACAGTAAGCCGGCACGAACGCCAAGTGCAAATGGGTTATTCTGATAAGCTTTACAAATCCAGTCACACCATATGCCTATAGGTATGTGCTAGGTCAGGGTTAAATGATCAATGAGCATTGTTGAAAGATAGCCCTTTTGGTTAGGATTTGGCCCAGTTATCTGAGTTTTGTTTCATAATTGATTTCTATGGTCAATGTAGCCTCCTATTTATCCGTATCAATCTGGGCTAGCTTACGGAATCAAAAACCGGATGATAGACCAAAATGGCATAGTTATTGAAATTTTTTAATTACAAGTGTTCCATATGAGTTCTGATTTATGCATACAAAACATGTAAAGAAAATACAAAGTATAATTTATAAAAAAAACATACCATCGTTTGTGATTATGTCAGTACCTGTTGATGAAATTAATGTTCAATAAAATATATTACTTAATAAATAATGATAATATATTCTGAAAATAATAATTACAAAATTCACGCCAGTACATTTTTCACGGGTATTTCATCAATGAGAGATGTCAGCTCGTAACCTTTACTTCTTTTTATGTGGATATCCTTCAGTTGAAGCCATCCATGACTGACGCCAGTCGGAATTCAGTAAATTACAACAATGTGCACAAGAGCACATAAAGCAGAAAAGACACTGTCCCTCAAGTGGATCGACATGTATCTGATCTCGGCCTGTCTAAATCGGTTCTCAGAGTTAATACTTCTCCTGAAGTTACGTATCTAGTTTGCCGGATTCCCTTACTTACACTGTTCGAATGCAAGAGGCTGTTCACTTTATGGATATGGATAAGCCCGCCACCAAAAATTATACTTCCTCGCTCGGATTTTCAAGGACCAACAAAAGCGTTCCGGTCACCAAAAGAAACGTAGTACTTTATATGCGAATGTTATGATATGAAAAAATTTCTTTCTTTTAAAGTTTGCACTCAAAATAAGTTGAATTAGTTATGGTTTTTCTTCTTCAAAAAACAAAAAGTCAATTTATTTAAGATAATTTTTATTCACTGAGTGTGTATGGGTTTTTAAGCTGGATTCAATACTCATAAATCAACAATAATGTTTGACATTAACACCGTTGAATGCCAGCTTAGTTGTCTGGTGTTTAAGCATTTGTAAGTGAGGTCAAAGTACCTGGATTAGATTCCCGTGTATTAGCTCATGGACGCGCACTTTTGAGGAGTTCCACACTAGAATGATGCAAACGTCAATTGCTTTCAGATTTTCAGTGGGAGTCTAACATAAATGGACTTGTGATTTCAATGAAACTCAACTGTCTTCACAAGTCTTAATCAATCTAGAAACTTTCATCTAAATACATTTTAGGATATAAATCAATTGAGTGATCAGTTAAATGAAAAAATATATTAGAGTTAAAACGATTTGTAGCTCACATGGATGGTTTTGATGGAGTTTTATTCTCTGAGGTGGATGGTCTAGTCGTGGAGCTTTCATCGTTCTTCTGAACGACATCATTAGGTTTTGCACTGATTCTGCGATAAGTCCTGATATTGGTGGTCCCATCTGTGTCTCTTTTGTTTATTCGAACACTTCCACCTGAAGTTTGTGCTGATGATGCTGTTAAGAAGAACGCTGGAAGCTCCACAACTAAACCATCCATCACAGAGAACAAAGCTCCATCAAAACATATTAGAATAAATAAAAACTGATATTTACAAATGAAATGCAATGATATAACTTACTAGAATAACTGGGGATTGTAGTATCTACAAAGTGAAAAAGTGAATAACAAATGAAATAAACATTGAAATATTTTGCTATTGTCACAATAATGTAACTCCGCCCGTAGCTCTTCTAGAGTTACTGCCGGTCCAAAGCCCGGGTAAAGGAGAAGGGTCGGCCATGGGTTAGCGTCGCCATCCCGTAGAAAACTAACTCGCTAAAAAAAACGCTTACCAGAAAAATAATTCAAACCATTTTAACTCTGCCCTGGGAGTTAGGAGGTCTTCATTTAGAAGAATTATGACGCTTCATGGTGAAAGCCGAGTTCCCTCGAAAGCCACGAGGCCGATGCCCCTTCTAACAACGAGAGCTCTCTCTCGAGATACCGACAGACACAATGAGTTCAAGATAGCTCTCAACAACAGGTTCCAAGCCTTACAAGATCTACTGAAGGAAGGAGAAACTATTATGGAGGACAACTGGAAAGGCATCAAAGAAGCATTAACTTCAACGTGTCAAGAGGTTCTGCGCCGAAAGAAACACCATCATAAGGAGTGGATCTCTATAGAAACTCTGGACAAGATCAAAGAAAGAAAGAACAAGAAGGCAGCAATTAACAACAACCGAACACGAACAGAGAAAGTCCAAGCACAACCTGAATGCACAGAAGCAAACAAGCAAGTGAAGAGGAGCATTATAGCCGACAAGAAGAAATACGTGAAAGAACTAGCTAAGACGGCGGAAAAAGCTGTTTAAGAGGGAAATATGAAACAGCTTTACGATACAACGAAGAAACTATCAGGGAAATACAGTAAACCAGAGAGACCGGTCAAAGACAAAAAAGGCAATCCAATCACTGAAATTCAACAACAGCGGAACAGATGGGTAGAATACTTCTAGGAACTCCTGAATAGGCCGGCTCCAATGAATCCACCGGATATCGAAGCGGCACACACAGATCTTCCCATAGACGTCAACCCACCAACGAAGGAAGAACTCAGAATGGCCGTCAGACAAATCAAGAACGGGAAAGCAGCGGGTCCGGACAACATACCAGCTGAAGCACTGAGGTCAGATATCGAAGTAACTACAAACATGCTTTACCTTCTATTCAAAAAGATTTGGAAGGAGGAACAATTGCCGGTGGACTGGAAAGAAGGACACCTCATCAAGATTCTAAAGAAAGGAGATCTGAGCGAATGTGAAAACTACAGAGGCATTGCACTGGTGTCAATACCAGGGAACGTCTTCAACAGAATGTTACTGAACCGGATGAAGGATGCAGTAGACGCTGAACTTCGAGATCAACAAGCTGGATTCCGTAAGGATCGATCGTGCACAGACCAAATTGCAACACTACGGATCATCGTCGAACAATCAGTTGAGTGGAACTCGTCACTATACATCAAAGCCATTGATTATGAAAAGGCATTTGATAGTGTGGATAGAAGAACGTCATGGAAACTTCTGCGACACTATGGAGTTCCTGAGAAGATTGTCAACATTATCCGGAACTCATATGGCGGACTACAGAGTAAAGTAGTGCATGGAGGACAGCTGATAGATGCATTCCAAGTAAGGACCGGAGTCAGACAAAGCTGTTTACTCTCTCTCTTCCTCTTTCTTCTGGTGGTCGACTGGATTATGAAGACCTCGACATCTGAGGGAAAACACGGAATACAATGGACAGCTCAAAACCAATTAGACGATTTGGACTTCGCAGATGACCTAGCCCTCCTATCACGTACACACGAACAGATGCAGATGAAGACAGCCAGTATAGCAGCAGTCTCTGCATCAGTAGGCCTCAGCATACACAAAGGGAAAACCAAAGTCCTCAAATTCAAAGCGGAAAACAAAAATCCAATCACTCTTGATGGCGAAACTCTGGAAAATGTAGAGTCCTTCACATACCTAGTAAGCATCATCGATGAGCAAGGAGGTTCAGATGCAGACGTAAATGAGAGGATTGGCAAATCAAGGACAGCATTCCTAGAGTTGAAGAACATATGGAACTCAAAACAACTTTCAACCAATATCAAAGTCAGAATCTTCAATACCAACGTCAAGGCAGTTCTACTGTATGGAGCTGAAACTTGGAGAACTACAACAACCACCATATAGAAGGTACAAGTATTTATAAATAGCTGTCTACGCAAGATACTCAACATCCATTGGCCGGATACCATCAGCAACAGCGTTTTGTGGGAGAGAACAAACCAGCCTCCAGATGAAGAAGAAATGAAGAGAAGACGATGGAAATGGATAGGACATACATTACGCAAATCATCAAGCTGCATCACGAGACAAGCCCTAACTTGGAATCCTGAAGGGAAGCGGAAAAGTGGAAGGCCTAAGAACACATTACGTCGGATAATAGAAGCAGATATGAAAAGGATGAATAGGAACTGGAAGGAGCTGGAAAGGATTGCCCAGGATAGGGTTGGATGGAGAATGGTGGTGAGCAGCCTATGTACCTTCACGAGGAGTAACAGGCGTAATTAAGTAAGTAAGTACAATAATGTAATTAAGATGAATAATTATGAACTGTTTAATGATTATTCACTTGGTGTTGTTTTACTTGTATCTTCACCCAGTTGCGAAAGCAAGTAACCATCAGGATTTGGTAGCTAAGTGGGTAACGCAATGACGTTTGGAGCTAACGGTGATGGTTTCGAGTCCTGGAGTGAACATCAAATCTGAGATTCACGTGCACCTAGATGATGAGTCTCAAATAGGACGAAACCCTCGTCCTGGATTCCACTGCTAGTCCCTATTGATGTTTACCTAAAATGTTTAGTGATTATGTTCATATTTTTATTTACGTAGATGATGATGATAAGAGATCACGGACATAGTGATTAACTTCGATTGGCCTATTCGATAATAATAATAATATTATTAATTGAGGCAATACTTGTGATAAATCATTTAGTTACTTTCAAGATTAGTGTTATGAACCTATTAATTAACAATATTCAGCTCAAAGCAACACTGGTTGAGATATCATTGAAATCTTAGGAGCAATTTACGAATGTTTTACTCTTATATGAAATTCATCAACAAGCTTGACAAATATAACGGATATGATATTGATATTTCAGAGTGATTGTGCTATCCATAAACTACAGAACTAACTCTACTTAGAGCCTAATAAAATCTACTTCTAGTTCCAAGTCCGGATTAAGCAGGATGGTTGAACATGGGTTTACCGACTCTATTCTGTAAACAAGAAACTTGTTAATAATATACGGTAACCAGAAAGAATCATTTTAGCCATTTGAACTCTATCTTAGGAGTTGAAGGACCTTTATTTAGTAGAGTCATGATGCCTCATAGTCGAAGCTGGGATTCTTCGGAAATCATGAGGCTGATTTTCCTTCTGAAAACTAGAGCAAAAACTGCACCGGGAGTCAAAGACATAAATTAGGATTATGAATATCACATGGGGACATCTTGAAACGAAAGCCCAGGAGTGAATTGGCTAAAGATCCCTAGTCGGTACCCTATGCATCACGAGGGGTAACAGGCTTTATACGAGAGGCTCCAATCGATCACAGAGAAGTGCCCTGAAAAGTACCTAATGGAAGATCAAAACTCTAAAGTCGGAATGGACAACTTCGGGTATGAAGATATCATGGGATGACATGAACTGATTGGGTGAAAGGAATGAGAATGGTGATGGATACTAATACACCATATTTAATTAAAACATTTTTTTTGAGATCTTGTTAAAAGATGTTTATATTCAATTACCTGTTTGTTTTGTCATATGTATTCATTTTAAACACTGTCCATATCATGATCGTATGGAAAGATTATGTGTTACCCAGGAGAGATTAAACGAAATTCTTTTAGGTGAGTAAATCTTTGAACAGAAGTTATGCAGCTCGGTAATATAACTCACAACTGAGGTTATTCGTAACGTTCACAAAATGTACGTTATCACTTTCGGTCATTTTTCATTTGACGTACTGCATTTGGCTGTGTGTTTGATGTGTAAAATGTGATTGGTTACTGAGCGTGGACAAACAGTTAACTGACTATTTTATGTTGATAGAAGCTGAACTTGTACATTGTTGGATATCGGTTCATTTGTTTAGTGGCTAAACGTTGGAGCACGAGGCGTAGATACCGATTGCTGAGATGTTCTATACTAGAACCGAACGTCCGTTCACAGCTACTAGGTGTTCAACAGTTGTCTAACTATAACCTAACCTATACCCTGATTCACTATATAACTGGTCATGGATCAAGTATTCTATATAATATGATTCCAGTCCGTGTATAGCGTATCGATCAAGTGATAGTATAATCTTGGTCACCGGTTGTATGATCTTATTATAGTAGAGGATCTTGTTGAAAAGGAAGTATTTTTATTCAATTGTTATATCAATATTATTGTGTAATATTCATAATGGTTTTGATCTGAAGACCGAATGTTTACGATATATGTGTATCTTTCTCCCAGAACTTTGGCCGACACTACTCTATACTACACGTTTTCAGAGCGGACAGTCAGTAATAACTCTAACCATAAATCACTCGATATAAAATCTAAACTAACAAGTAATCTATTTTGTAGAAGAATCTTCATTTCGTTCAGATATAACTGACATACACATTTTGATGAATAATTAAACTTACAATTAGTGTCATCTGTGGTAGAGTCTGAAATTGGATAAAGACACAAGTAACAAGAAACAATAAACTAACACTATAAAACATTTATTATTATTATTATGATTATTATTATTATTATTATTATTATTATCATTAGTGGCTCTATTCAATATGATATTTTTGATACAATACAGAATTCTCAGCAAAAACTATTTCAACAAGTTTCCGTTTCTTATTTCTTGATCAATCCTGATGATAAATATTGAGTGAGTGCCAGTTAGATGTTAGCAATTCAGTAATTGATATATGAATGATGTTTATTCTTTTCAATGCATACCGTTGCCAGGAACCACGATGTCACTCTGATTAGGCTTATTTGTAACTTGTATAGTGAAATGTCGTAAACTTGTCACAAACTCACCTGATGAATAGGTTATGCGACTAATGGGCATAATGGTATATTAAAACAAACATGAAATCAGATAACTTGTTGAAATATCCAGATGATAGGAACAGGTAGCCCAGATATTCAAGCAAATTGCTCTATTGTTATTGGAATATGATAAATAAAACTGATTTGGAAATATCTTTATTTATATTGTACAGAATTAATGTGATCAATCAAGATGTCAAATAAAATTATAACAGATAATATTAACTACATAGAAGTGAATGGCGTTTCGTTCTATGTGGAATTAGTTAGCTAGATGGGACAATCTGCACCGGAATAGGTTATGCGACTAATGGGCATAATGATATATTAAAACAAACAAGAAATCATATAATTTGTTGAAATATCCAGATGATAGGAACAGGTAGCTCAGATATTCAAATAGGCCGTCTAGTATTTATTATTATGAAAAGTTAACTACTGTCCCAATTGTTAATCAGATCTTATTCAAAGTATTTCAAGTTTATTAGAATAAAGAACTATTGTTTTTGAGTAGTAAAGTTTTGTTTTCTTGTAATTCGATATGTAAATGATTAATGTATGCCAAGATTTTGAATTAATATCATCAGTTAGTTAGTCAGTTATAACGTAGGACCAGGCATCGATCCAAGTTGTCACATATCATGAGCACAACAAGACCAACACCATATTTATAGAAATAGTTATTCCAATGGTAGTAATTTATAAACGAAGAATTATGTATAAGGATACATTACGGGAAGAAAGAGTCAGTTCGTAGAAATAAGGGTATAAAGTAATTTAATCTCTTAGTTTAAGGAAAGACAGAGAGCGTATACACTTACGCCACTGTAACTGATTCTGAGTCATGTCACTCACAGTCTCCAATCATTGATTACGACAGTCACGTGGACCCCAACCAAGTAGTCTGCATCAATCATCATGACTAAGACTAGAAGTTAGTGACATTGTGGATTGATACCATGTTTTGGTTTGGCCACCCCTAACTTTCATCCAACAGTCTCCAACAACAGTCAGCATTGGGCATCATGGTAAGAGATGTTCAGACATACGTGACACGTGGCCTAACCATCTCAGACGATGAAGATTCAAAACCTCATCAACTGATTTACCATCACCTCACTATTACTTACCCGGTGATCCCAGGAGATACGAGCAATATTTCTAAGGCATGTGGTCAAATACTAGTAGCTTACGAAAATCTTCTACTCTTAATGGCCACGTTTCGCAGGCGTAAAGTAAAATATAATGTACTGCCGCACAGTATACTTGTCCCTTAATTGAATTTCCTAAATGTTTTTCATTGTGGTCACTAAGTTGAAAAGACTTTGGAAAATTATTTAGTACATACAAGTAATTCATGAAAAACTTAATTTCGTTTATTCATGTAAACATTGGCTTAACTAAACAGTCTCAAGTTAAAAATTATAATATGGATTTATGGCCCAAAGTAAACGGAATGACCATTAAAATGGATTAGGTATCAATATGCAAGAAAATTAAATGAACATAATCAAGATATTACTTATATGCGATAATGATAAATTAGAAATAATTTGAATGGTTGAGATCATGAGTCAATTGAAGCTAGATCACCATGGAAAGCCTGTAAGCACTGGACGGCCGTTCCGTCTTATTGTGGAACTCCTCATTAGTGCGCATCCACGATTCCGCCTCGCGGGATTGGAACCTACATGGATTGAATTTAACTACTAGGCTAATGTTAACTTTCTAGTATTAAATGCGATATTCATGAAAACCATGAGTACCACACGAAACATCTACAAATAGAAGGTCCTATATAGAACTTATTTTCCTCTTCTGGTTTATTGGCTGAAATAAATAAATACAAGTAAATTCAGTATTACATGTAACTTTAGATATGCCTATCTAGATATAGCAATTCATATTACAATATATAGTACATAAGTAAGCTATATTTTGTCAAACGATACGTCCACTAGCAGAGTATTTATGCAAATTAGCCTAATTAATAGGAGTTAACAAGTGATAGTTTTCTGAGTCAATTTAGAATCTATTATCAGATGTTTCAACAATACGTAACCAAAACTTCAGAAATGAATAAATTTGAAACCTTTAGTGAGTTAATGGTATTCTATATCTTGTATAGTTTGTATACAAATATAGTCAATATATGATGATATATCTAGAGTCTCATCTAATATTATCAGTGAATTGTAGTCTATCATCTAAATTTGTTGAATCCTACAAAGCTTGCAAGAGATCCACTTCGAACGTATTTGTCATTAAGCGTATTACCAACAAGTAGTTATGTTATGAATGAAGATGTCTTTAATTTGAATACAGTTTTTTTTTCACGGATTAAAATCAGATTTTTTTTATTAGTTTTAATAGTCGAGATCATGAGTCAATTGAAGCTAGACCAACATGGAAAGCCAGTGGAGTCCAACCGGGTCCGTTGTGAGATGGTAACTCACTGATGACAATGGTGGATGTGTGGCTCAATTTCGTGGATTAGTTGAAGTTAGATATTAATACCGTTGGATGGCGACCGGCTAAGTGGTATCGAGGTTAAGCGTTCACGCACGAGACTGATAGGTCCTGTGTTCGAATCTCGCAAGATGTGATCATGGATGCACACTGCCGAGGAGTCCCGTAGTAGGGCGAAACGGCCGTCTAGTGCTTCTAGGTTTTCCATGGTTGTTTATCTTCAAATGACTCATGATCTTAACTATAAGAATTACTAAATTCTCCACATAACACCTTCTGATATTCATTTTAAAATAATAAAAATGTTCATTAGTAAACCTTGTTTATGTCTACTACATGAAAGTAATATGTTTAACTATATGATCATATATAAATCTATAAACAACCATAGGTATTGAAACAGTGATTTATTTTTAGTTTTTGATTACATTCTTTCCGAATGAAGAATAAATGATTGGCAACTGCTAGGAGTTATTTATGGACTATTATTACATATATTTTGTTTTATCATAATCTTTCATTTGACCTGTTGACTACTGATATACGATTTACTAGTCCTAAGTTATTCTCAGTTTATTAGTTACGGTATCTCACATTCACAGTCACTTTTAGATAGACCTTTTATAATAATTATTCTGGACTGAACAGGCTAGATTAGGTGTGAAGCTACAAAACAAAGGACCGATAAGGATTCAGAGTTGACTCAAGGCTGCTAGTGTTGTTTGACGCATCATTTGTTTTACCACAGGGATAAGGTGATAGAAGTCGATCTACTATTGGTGATTTTGTCACTTGATATTTAACAAGCAATAGGACATAATACTTTAGGTAGGTAATTCAAGCACAGTCTTATACATTCAACCTTGCAGTTGAAAAGAAGTTACAGACATTATGAACTACTTAATTATGTAATATCTCAATGTTTATTACAAATATGCGTATAAATAATCAAATTAAAATGAAGCTTTAAAACTACACTCACTGAAATCACTTGTACTGGTCATTGTTGTATTATCTATAAATCCAGATAATCATAAGAATGATTTAATATTAGAAAATAGTTGGAACTTAAAATGGGAAAGGAGAATAGTTAATGATTAATTGACTTATCCCAGTGTACTTTAATGATCATTATACGTCTATTTACTCTTTAGCAACTAAATTAGATGATACATTTTAATAATGAATAGTAACAACGTAGAACTTCGTAAGTACGTATATCAGTTCAAGTTGCCATACTACATTAGCACAGAGATGCAGTTGGTAGAGGTAGTAAGAGTATAAGCAGTAATCCGAAAGATTAGGGTTTGAAGATATTATTCAAGGAGTATAATCGAGTGAAATAAATTTGGAAAGAGAAAAAAGAAAGGGGTATAAAGAATTCAGAAGATTGGAATTTGAGAGAACACAAAGATTGGATGCACCTGCGCCGTTGCAAACAACTTTGGGCCATGTCATTCAGAGTCTCTAACCATCGGTTGCTATCATCTCGCGGATCCCAACCAGATAGTCTACACCTACCAACATGACTCAGCCCAGTTGTTAGTGACTCTATGGATTTGTGCCAGAAAAAATTGTTAAATTCAATATTGATAAAAGATTACATTAAATAAGAAGTTGGTTATATGTAAATAAGTTAACAGCCTTTAAATGAAAGTGTGAAATTCTTAGAAAACTGTTACAGAACCATTCCTATTATAAACAGGTGAAATTTTAATTTATGGACGAACCAATCAGGTATGAGATAATGGATTTCGGATTTTGACACAGAATTCTTACCCCATAATGAAGATAGATGATTATCTTTTGAGTTCTGAACAAATTAAATTTATCGATAAATTGATAAATGTGCCAGTTATCCTAGACAAAGATTTCAGTATAATTACAAGTAATGGATACAATTCGTTGAGTTAGGATAGTTTTATTTACTCAACTTTGAGTTGTATGATCTATGCTAGACAAGTTAGTATTAAAACGTTATTCAAGCCGACTTAGTGCCAAAAGGGGTTTTGTGGAGAGTTTAGTAATTTTTATAGTTTAATTCATGAGTCAATTGTGGCTAGATCACCATGGAAAACCTGGATGCACTGAACGTCCGTTTCGTCCTAGTATGGGACTCCTCAGTGGCGCACATCCACGACCCCGCCTCACGAGATTCAAACTCATGACCTATCAGTCTCACTTTATTTCCTTTACATAAAATAACCTAAATTCTGAAGTAATTTAACCGGGTCTGTTGTGGGACAGTAACTCACTGATGATAATGGTGGATGTTTTGCTCGATTTCGGGGATTAATTGAAGTTAAACGTTAATACTGTTGGATGACGTTCCACTCAATGATCTCGAGGTTAAGCGTTCACGCTCGAGACTGGCAAATCCTGATTTTGAATCTCGCGAGGCGCGGTCTGGATGCACACTACTGAGGAGTTACACAGTGGGACGAAACTGCGGTCTAGTGCTCCTAGGTTTTCCATGGTGATCTAGCTACAAATGAATGATGATCTCAATCATCAAGCCTAATTAGTTGGACTGTGATTATAACATGTGATTGACAAATGAGAAATTAATTCACATTTTACTCAATCTATAAAGCAATGAATTTTCAAACTTGATTGCAGAGAACAGTTACCTTAACGTGTATCTCTTTCATTTTTTAAATATCAATTTAGTCATATACAGGAGTTAGGTTAAAACAATTCGGTTACAAAGAGAATTATGTAACTTACCGAAAGTGGCAGTATCTGACATATTTTATAGAACAATAAAACCGAGAGAGAACAGACTGTTTAAATAAAGTAACTTGATAACGATATATTATGTTTGAATTTATATCTATTCCTTTAAATAGGTTGTGATTTGTATTGATAACGATGTCGGAATTCAAAACACTGTATAGGATGTTATCAGTTATATTAGTGTATACAAGTAACAACTATGATTGTAGATGAAAAAATTTCAAACATACTAAAGAATGTGAAAATATATGTCTTACTTACTTACACCTGTTACTCCCAATGGAGCATAGGCCGCCGACCAGCATTCTCCAAACCACTCTTTCCTGGGTCTCCTTTTCTAATTCCATCCAATTCTTGTTCATCTTTTTCATGTCTATTTCCATTTCTCGGCGTAATGTGTTCTTTGGTCTTCCTCTTTTCCTTTGGCCTTGAGGATTCCATGTGAGGGCTTGTCTTGTGACGCAGTTGGGTGCTTTCCTCAATGTGTGTCCTATCCACTTCCAGCGCTTCTTCCTGACTTCTTCCTCCGCTGGAATCTGGTTTGTTCTCTCCCACAGTACGTTGTTGCTAATAGTGTCCGGCCAACGGATCTGAAGTATTTTGCGTAGATAACTGTTAATAAGCACCTGTATATTCTGAATGATGGCTTTCGTAGTTCTCCAGGTTTCTGCCCCATACAGTAGAACTGTCTTGACATTTGTATTGAAAATCCTGACCTTGGTGTTGGTTGACAGTTGCTTTGAGTTCCAGATGTTCCTCAGTTGTAAATATGGTGCTCTTGCTTTGCCGATCCGCGCCTTCAAATCTGCATCAGATCCACCCTGTTCATCAATGATGCTGCCCAAATATGTAAAGGTTTTTACATCTTCCAAATCTTCTCTGTCAATTGTGATTGGATCGGTGCATGCTGTGTTGTATCGGAGAACCTTGCTCTTCCTTTTGTGTATATTGAGACCTACTGCTGCTGAGGCTGCTGATACACTGTTCGTCTTTTCCTGCATTTGTTGTTGCGTTTGGGATAGAAGGGCCAGATCATCTGCGAAGTCCAGATCGTCCAACTGCATCCTAGATGTCCATTGTATCCCGTGCTCCCCTTCAGATGTTGATGTCTTCATGATCCAGTCGATCATCAGGAGAAAAAGAAAGGGTGAGAGTTAACAACCTTGCCTGACACTGGTCTTTATTTCGAACGACTTTGTCAATTGTCCTCCATGCACGATTTTGCAGTTTAATCAATCATATGAATTCTGTATGATATCTTCTGAAGCACGCCGTAGTGTCGAAGAAGTTTCCATAGTGTTGTTCTGTCCACGCTACCAAACGCTTTTTCATAGTCAATGAAGTTGATATATAGTGATGAATTCCATCCAATTGATTGTTCCACAATGATCCATGGAGTTGTGGTTTGGTCTGTACAGGATCTATCCTTATGGAATCCTGCCTGTCGGTCACGAAGTTGGGCGTCTACGCAGTCCTTCATCCTGTTTAACAATACCCTGTTGAAGACTTTTCTCGGTATTGAGAGAAGAAAAGATATATGTCATTCATGTCTAAATAGAATCATTAGAAAGGTGGAAGTAGATAGAAGTGATCAATCTTTGTGGAAAAGAGCTATCAGTTACATGGCCAGAGTTCAAGAGAACAAAGAAAACAGCAAGAATCCAAAGAAATTTGAAAGTGGTGAATCCTGTTAAAACGACCAATCACTAAAAAATTCATTAGAATAGACTGATTTATTGCATGTGGAAAGATTCTTAAAAAGCTCACTTTCATTTGAAGTAGGGGTTGATGATTTTCAAAATGATAATGAATGCCTTTCAATTCGACATTCAACTTAATGGAATGCAGCATTACTAAAAGTACTTACTTTAGCTACAGATTATTTCTATTATTTCAATAAAAAATATATTCTGAGTAAATCTAGAGGATCAGGTACTTTTAATCGTGTGTCTAAAATGATCTAGATATCTGTTTTATATCCTTGACCTTACTTTTATTGACGTTAGCACCTTAATTCAGACCTACAATCTATTGGAATTTTATTACACTGACGTTATTCTTAAAATATACTGATCCTACTCCTCATCTATATGCACATCACTTTCAATCCACTATACGGTTGTTAAGTGAGCAAAAAGGTTACAAATCATTCGTTAGAATTCGGTCATTTTCAAATATTATAAACGAAGACGGTGATTTAATTTATTATTCTATTGTTTGTTTGAATCTTCCAATTGATGTTTAGGTCTGCAGTTGATCAGTCTATTATCGGTATATGTGTATACTGTACTGATTACATTTATATTGCTTTAGGTCACAAGCATTGTAAGCAAAGATGGATAAAGGCTAGTAGTGGAATCCAGGACTCACGTCTCGTCCTATATTGGGACTAGTCATCTGGATGTACCTGCATTTTGGTGCTTAAACCCAGTAGCGTTCACTTCAAACGCCGTGGCGTTATCCACTTATCTATTGAGTTCAGATAACCACGCTCATTGTGGATTCCACTAATAGCCACCATACGTCTTTGCTTATAAAAACGATGATTGTTATAAAGTGGCAGATTTATTCTCAACGAAATTCAATCACAGTTCGGTTTACGCACTGATAACTTCCAAGAATCTGACAGTAGAAAATAATGTTTCTAATTCTACTGAAAATGATAGTTCTGTCCAAATTTTCGTTACATTTTGACAAATGTAAACAACCATGAAATCGATCAATTCATTTTAATTAAGAAAAATACGTAAGTACATATTACACGATAAAAAAAATTAATTTTCAACTCTCATTGAATATATATGACATAGTCTTAATGAAATTTTAAAAAATCGCCCAAATGAAATACACACAGTTATGAACAGATTCCAACGGAGGAAGAAATCAGGGTAAAGCGCTGGAAATGGGTACGACACACTGAGGAAAGTACCCAATTGCACCACAAGGCAAGCCCATACGTGAAATCCTCAAGGCCATAGAAGAAGAGGAAGATCAAAAAACACATTACGCCGAGAAATGGAGACAGACATGCGAAGAGTGAACAACAACTGGATAGATCTAGGAAGGTATATCCAAGACAGAGTGGGTTGGAGAATGCTGGTCGATGACTTATGCTCCATTCGGAGTAACAGGAGTAAACGAGTAAGTAAGTAAGTATGTAAGTAATGAACTGATCAGACTTACCAGTAATAGGATCTTCTGTGGAACCTAAACATTTAATTAATTAGATTAAAGTAACCAATAAGCCAGTTTAAATTTATTGAGGTATGTGTTTATATGCAGTTTTGTTTTGCGTAATTTAAAAGTTACATAAGTAAAGTAAGTTAACATCAACTGAAGAATAAACAGTATTCAAGGATCATTGAGCAACTGAATCCATAAGGTTTAAGACAACTTAAAAGTGAAAAATACTCCATTAAACAGAAGTATTCGAATTAATGTGTTAACTAAGGATTCCCGAAATAGTTCAATTTAAGTCCGGTAGAACTAGATGAGCACTACTAAACGTTTTATATTTGTAATTCGTAATAAGCGCGCAATCAATTACAAAGGAGTTATTACTTAGTACAAATACCATAAATAAACAATCACATAGACGAAAGAATTGAAAGCATTCAGATCACATGAAAACCAACATGATAACATTGAACTATGCAATTGCAATATGCAACAATTTCCTGTTCATTAAGTAAGTGAATAGTGTGTGTAAAGTAAGGTTTTCACTGTGAATTTCATTTCAATCTTCAACATTCATTTCATTTTCTCCTTTTATTCTGTACTTTGGAATGTCATAGAGTGATTTCTTTATAGGAGACATATTTAGATGACGTTAGATGGTGGAAATGTAATTGTCAGTGAAAATTATGCTCTTATATGCTTTGTTGACCAACTAAATGAACGAAGAAAGTGATCAAAAATGTTAGATAAATTTTTTTTATTGAACATTGTTAACATTATGTTAACACGTTTAGAATATACACGAATCCTATTTATTTTTCCATCGGCAACAGCCTACTGTGGGAGAGAACGAATCAATATCCAACTGAAGAAGAAATTAGAAAAAGATGCTGGAAATGAATAGCCTACACATCGAGGACATCATTAAATTATATTACGAAACAATCGCTAACTTGGAATCTTAAAGAGAAACGAAAAATTTCACAGGTTTAAATCATGAGTCAGTTGAAGCTAGACCACCATTGAAAACCTGGAAGCACTGGACGGCCGTTTCGTCCTGGTATAGGACTCCTCAGCAGTGCGCATCCACGATCCAGCACCACGCGGGATCCTGGGTTCGAATCTCGCGGAGTGTGGGGTCGTGGGTGCTCACTGATGAGGAGTCCCATACTGGGACGAAACGGCCGTCCAGTGCTTCCAGGTTTTCAATGGTGGTCTAGCTTCAACTGACTCATGATTTAAACCTGTGAAATTTCTTAAATTCTCCACAAAACCCATTCTGATAAGAAACGAAAAGGATGAAAGTCAAACAACGCACTGCTCACAGAATTGGAAGTAGATGTGAAGAGGATGAATTGCAACTGGATAGGATTGCCCAGGACAGAGTTGGAAAGAGAATCCTGATGAACTACCTATGAGGTATAACAGGCGTAAGTCTATAAGTCAGTTAATTATCTTTGTGTGTGTGTGTTTTTTTGGTCATGAATTCGTATTTTGTTTCATCAGTAAACGATAGAAAGTTTCATATTAAATTAAAGTTTGTTAATAGGATCATGTTTTCTTGTTTCATTATTGACATATAACAAGGATTTACTTAAACTAGAATTTGGACAATAATCAATAATGAATAGTTATGATTTAGCCGAAATATTATTTTTCGTTCAACATTCAATGTTTGAACTTTGAATCATTTACATCTATCAAGAGAATAATTGATATATAGTTGCTATGACATTAATCAAGATTGAAACTCATTGAAAAAGAACAATCCATATGGAAAGCAGATATTGATTATTATCAGAAGGTGTTTTGTGGAGAGATTTTAGTAAATTTTATAGTTGGATTCATGTGTCAATTGAAGCTAGACAACCATGAAAATCCTTGAAGGATCGGACAGTGTTATATCCGGATGAGAATAATGAATGGTAACTGTTGGAATCCATTTGTGAACCAATACTATACGTATATTATTATTATCATGGTATAATTGTTAAGTAGCTAAACTATGCATATTCGTGTCCCTCTTATCATTAGCTGTATATATATATGAAGTTATTACAAATGTTTCAGGTAAATCAAACAGTAAGTTTAATCGAATATCGTAACTAAAACTTACTGTCTTCTTGCGCCTGACTAACTGAAATGAGAAGAAAAAAAAGTAAATTGTTAATATTGTGATGTATGCTATTAATGCTTAACAGATTTAAGTAGCATATAGCTGTAATAGAAAGTGAAATACCGGATAGCAAAAGATCACAATAAAGAAAGCAGAAAGGAGATCGATGTGAAATCAAAATAACAACAGAATTAAAAGAATAATGGAGTATATATAAAGGAGAACATAAATATGTATTTGTATAAGTTTCATATTTTACTAATCTACTACATGATTTAGTAGTAGTAGTGGCCTTTTTTCTCACCTTAGTTCTCGTTCATCACAGTAATAGTTCTACTGTCTGAAACGTTCTCTTTACAAACATTTTATCTTAATGTTCTATATACACAGTGATATTTATAAATCAAGACTTATATACAATCAGTCTAACTTCGATAACCTAAATAGATCTAAAAGAAATATGGTTGAGAAGATTTTGACAAAGTTTTGTTCTCTGATGATTTGGTTGTGGAGGTAAAAGTCTGTACTGATGATGTAGTTCAGAAGAGTGATGAAAGCTCTACGATCAAATCATTCAGTTCAAAGAACAAAAGTTCATCTAAAAGTAATATCTTGATATCATAGACCAATACAAAATCTCTCTTCAATACAGTTTATGCGAGAAATTAGCAACAACTAACTGTGGGAAAGAACAAACCAGATCCCAGTGGAGTAAGAAATCAGGATAGGACAGACATAGAGAAAGGCACCGAACTGAGTCACAAGACAAGCTCTCACATGGAATCCTCAAGGCCAAAGGAAAAGAAGAAGATCAAAGAACACATTACGCCGAGAAATGGAAATAGACATGAAATTGATGAACAAGAATTGGATGGAATTAGAAAAAAAGACCCAGGACAGAGTGGTTTGGAGAATGCTGGTCGGTGGCCTATGCTTCATTGGGAGTAACAGGCGTAAGTAAATAAGTAAGTAATGATAAATATTTTACAACTTTACATTATTACATATCGAAATTGGTACTTTACTTGTTCAAATTTCATATAGAATGAATTTTTCATGTTAAAGGACGAATTAATTTAAAACTTGTAGACTAATTGAAGAAAATAATTTTAGTTAATTATTTACCACATTTTGAGCGAAAGATACAATGTTAGAGTTTCTCTGTGAAAATTACCATTAGGATAGAAGTATCTCTGGCTGAAGAGACCAGAATAGGATGAAACAAGCATCTTGAATCTAACTACTATCTATGGTCTAACTTTTGTAAGGTTTAGTTGAATAAACTTAAAACTAAATTACAATTGATTGATCACTGGCTGGTGACGAATGTCGTATTATGTCAGCTCCATCTTTGTGCAGATCGAATTCTATCGACCAAGTTCCAATGTGCCTACCAGTCTAGGTGAATCGACATTTGGTGCATTATATTGAGATAAAAAGGTGATTGGAGATAGTCAACAGGAAATTCGATTATTCATTGTTATTAAAAATCGCCATGTTTCATCATTATAAGATGATTTCGTTTTAGTGAACAACAGTCTATAAATACTTCAGAGAAGATATACAGAATTTAATCTCCTTGAGATATAACACAACTAGCACTTCCTAGTTGGATATCTTCCAATGAAATGTCAGCTAAGCAAAAACATTGATCTACAGTACTTTAAACCTTTGATAATTTAAATCTTGAACAGACATTATTTTTTGTGTAATGTAACTCATGTTGATTGTTGAAATTCATATTGTTCTTATATACCATAAACAATAATCATTTTCATAATAAACAAAAATGGACAGTGGCTAGCAGTGGAATTCAAGACACGCGCTCCGTCCTATTTGGGACTCGTCATTTGGATGTACCTGCATCCAAGTTGTTGTTCACTCTGGGACTCGAACCCAGTACCGTTCGCTTCAAACTCCATAGTGTTATTCACTTATCTACAGAGTCCTGATAATCAATTTCGTTGAACTATTTTCTTCTTAAAATTTCGAGCCATTTCATCTTCCTACAAGTCGTTATGTAATTCTCTGGTACATATATATATATATATATATATATATATATATATATATATATATATATATATATATATATATCATACATATTATCAGTGATGATCGCCGTCAAATACCCTAGTAATGACGAGGGTGAGAAAAGTTAGCTCATCCTTTCAAAATGCTCTCAGATGTCCACTCGAGTACAACCACAACCAACGAAGTCCTACTCACTGACTTCTTGTGGCTGCGGTGTTGTTCAAAAAATTAATAGAACGTAAAGAGAACGTCCAGCGCTTTAACCGGGCTAGTGGATGTAGAAAATCTACCTAGTGGAGTTGGAAAACCGCGATTCCAAACCAATGGTGCACACTTGCTCCATGATCCTGAAGGAACAAATAACGTATGAACCAATTATTGTTCACCGCCTACCATGGGACTGTATCTTTTAACATTGTTCTATTGCCTTGTAAACTAGATCTCTATATCAAAGGTACGGAGATTCACCCTCTAAGAAAGCAACTTACTACGGTTTGACTGGCTAAGTAGTATTCTAGACCTTATAAAAATTGAATGATAAAGTGTGACGCATATCTATTTAGTGCCTTCATGTACTAATGTTTATATATTTAAATGAATTATATGAATAAATAAACCAATGATTATCTAATTATCAGAAAGGGTTTGTGGAGATTTTAGAAATTTCACAGATTGAAATCATGAGTCAATTGAAGCTAGACTACCATGGAAAACCTAGAAGCACTGGACAGTCATTTCGTTCTAGTATGGGACTCTTCAGCAGTGCGCATCCACGATCCCGCACCCCCGCCCTGAGATTCCAACCCAGGACCTATCAGTCTCGCACCGGTCGCTTAACTAACTAAACCACTGAGCCAGCATCCAATGGATTATCTAATTAACTAAACATTCAACTAATTAATCATTTCTTCAGTTATTCCAATATCAATTATGATTAAGTTTGATTGAAGAGTATTCAATTTAGTGAAAGGAAATTGTGAAGAAGAAAAAAAAGAACAAAAAATATGATAGAAAAAATCATTTTCTAAAAACAAAATAATAATTGTATGAGACTATAGTTTATGGACGACCTTTGAGCGGCGTTAAAGTGACCTTGAAAGTGTCTACCTACTTATTAGGGTTAAGTAAGTGTTATAAAGCAGTTTGAAGAATAAGGATTATGATTTATAGTTGATGGTTAAAGTTAGGAATAAGATTTACGGTTTTTCAGCATGAACTAACATCAGCTATCATACCACGATCCTATTTAACCAAATAGGTAAATGAATTTTGCGCCAAAAATCCATAAATTATAGTCTCACCAATCATTGATTATTAGATTATTAAATTGACTTACTTTTCCCATTTAAAATGAGATTTAATAAACACCAGATAATACACCAACTGTAAATGATGTCCATTTAGATAATGGATGTTAATTACAATAATCACATATTCACTTAAATTACATAACACTATTTATTATAAGAAATACTCAATGATGTGTGTATAGTTTGTGCATATACATATCTACATTAGCTAATGAATATGTAATAGTATCTATGGTATGTAATAAACAACAAACAGTCAATTTGTTTTGTAGGACAGAAACAATTAAGGAAACTGATTTATTGAATATTCATAAATTAGAATAATTTATATGTGGGTGTTTTAAATCTGTGAATTTGTCACAAAATTCATTTTTTTATCTTCTTCAATATTTAGTGTAGGTATATGTATATCAGTATTTGATTGAAATTATGAGTCAATTGAAGCTAGACCATCTTCCAGTACAATGGAAGATAGTCGCATAATTTCGTGAATTGGTTGAAGTTAGACATTAACACCATTGGATGCCGACTGGCTCAGCGGTCTGGTTAGTTAAGCGCCCAGCGCGCGACTGACAGGTCCTAGGTTCAAATCCCACCGGGTGCGAGGTCGTGGGTGCGCACTGTTGAGGAGTCCCATACTAGGACGAAACGGCCGTCTAGTGCTTCTAAGTTTTCCATGGTGGTCTAGCTTCAATTGACTCATGATTTTAACCAAAAACTTAACAATCTCCACAATCCCTAAACTGATATATCAGTATTTTTAAGTTTAGATTGATGTTATAAATAGATCTGTAGTGACATACTTTTATCAAGAAAACGCTATTGGTTTAATGGAAAAAATTATTATTATAATCAATTGTACCAGTGATTGTTTTTACTGTACTTGTTTGTTTAACTGTACTATAGACATCCATTATTATTCCATTTCTCCTTCCGTTGATTGTGACATTGCACGAACTTACGTTTGCTCAGTGAATTTTCTTGTAATCCCCTGACATGATCTCGGTATTTTTTCGATACGACGAGATCACTAACAAATATACTTCGTTACAACCTCCAATTGCCTTCTGATATCTGGTACGTAACCTTCTTGTAGTGGTGATCATAGTTAACCGTGACTCGACGTCACACTACAGATCAATGTTAGATCATCATTAAAAAACATTGAAGTAACTGGATGACCATTTCATTCTAGTATAGAATTCTTGAACAGTGTACATCTACAATCTTGAATGTAGAATCCTATACTAGGATTAAATGGTCATACAATGCCTTCATGTTTTTAATGATGATCCATTCATGATATTAATATGAAAAAGGCATATTTATTTGTTTTGTTTAAAGGTTGTTTTCTATTAAATCTGTTTTCTTTTCTAAATATGTCAAATGTTTTGGAAGATAATTGAACGAGTTGTTGAAAATAAAGAAGTTGTAAGGGGAGATATGATTTAGAAAGATTACTCGTTATCGTATTAAATGATTGTTACACTTAATCAGGAACTGATTATAGATGGAAATATTGACCAATTGGTCTCAATTCTTTCATCGTGTTCACTTTGAAATTTAAACGTTCCACTTATGATACCTTCTTAATTTGTGATTGTAAAGTAGATTATTTATTTAATTAGTTAAACACATCAACATTGGTACAAGACAGTACCAAATACGTATGTGATACACAATAAAAATGAGACCAGTAGCAGTTATTATTGATTTTTGGGAGGTCTGGAATACTGTTCGGATGCAGTAGATGGTTTTCTTAGGGGTGCACAACCGGAGCCTTTGACCTGAGAGGTCTGATCCACAAGGCAGTGGAGCAATGTCAGGAGATACAATCCCATGGTAGTAGGTGACCAACATTAGGTTCATACGTTATTTGTTCCCTTAGGATACTGGAGCTCATGTACACCATTGGTTTGGAATCCGAATTTGCCAACTCCCCTAGATGGAACCTTCGTATCCTCCAACCCGATTAAAGCACCGGACATTCGCATTTCATCCTCTCAATTTCGCTAGCTACACTTCCGCCACGACGAGGCAGTGAGTAGGAAATCCCTGACAGTGACTATATACATGTGGCTATATGAGAGTATTTCGAGTGGGAGAGCATAAACTCCATACCCTCGACCGTACCAGAACGTTTGGGAGTTGTTGAAAGTAGAAAAAAGCAACTGTTCAATGATCATAAACATTATCCAGAAAAATGTGATTCGATGAAGTTGAATGTGTGTTTTATGAATACCTCCTTTAAAAATGAAAATCCGGGTGACATATAACATAGAGATTGAAAATAAACTAATTACGATTGAACAAAAGTAAAATGTCATGTGTATTCCAAAATGTAATACGTTAAAACTTGTTCTCTTACTCTTTTTCATAAATTAATTCTGTTGTATGGTACCGAATGAAGTATTTACTGTGTGGTTCTCAAATCTTACCAAGACGTTCTGTAATTTTATGTTGAAATACATTCGATTGTCCCTATTTGTGTTCTTGTTTACCACAATGATATTGAAAATTAGTAAAAACAAAACGTTTGTAATCAAATCCATTCATCTAGAAGTAATCAGTTATAAGTCTCACACTACCGTAGTGACTTATTTTCTGTATTCTATTGAGTTATATCTCATTCCTTGCTCTCATTTATAAATTACTTTTGTTCATTCATGAACTATTTCATTTCAGTATTACTCATTTTATTGATATAAATCTATCCCATTTAACAGCTGTTGATTTTTCTGGAAAATTGTCTACAAGTGTTTTTAACAAAAGTTGTTTCTAGTGACTAACTTTGTGAGTGAATTTTCGGAGTTCTATTGAGAAGTCGTGACTAGTGGAGCTGATCCATGTCAGGTAGAGACAGGTATCTACCTCAGTACAATGGAAGGTGGTCGCTCAACTTCGTGGATTGTTTGAAGTTAGACATTAACACCGTTGAACGCCGAGTCAGTGGTCTAGTGCTTAAGCGTTCGTTCGCAAGATCGAAGGCCCTGGGTTCAAATCCTGTTAGCAGGATTATGTATGCGCACTAGTGAGGAGTCCCACGATAAGACGAAACGGCCGTCCAGTGCTCCTAGGTTTCCTATGGCGGTCTAGCTTTACTCGGTTTATGATCTCAATCAAAAACTTAATAATCTTCACAACCTCATAATGACAATTTTCGGATTCATTAATTTATAAATATTTACACATTGGAACTTTTTTTAAAAATAGTTCATTTATGTTCATTGCTGTTTATTGTCAATCTTTACTAGTATGATATAAAGTTTGCACATTTTGTTTTAAACAATCAATAATATGAATTCATTTGTACTGGTTGTTTGAATCTTCCCATTCATTGTTTAAGACTAGGATGCTTGAGACTATGAATGATACTGAGACAATCTATGTTGTGACTGATCGAATGAATTTCTAAACAACGTGAAGTTTTGAACAATCGATATAAAGGAATTAAATTTTACTCCATTACATAAGCTAGTGACTACCTGGACTCAGTAGCTAAGTGAATAATGCCATGGGTTTTGAAGCGAACGCTACCGGGTTCGAGTTCCGAAGCGAACATCAACTCTGTAATGCAGGTAAATCCAACTGATGAGTCCTAGATTCCATTTCTAGCGACCATCCAACTCTAATCATAGTCAATTACATTGTTTACTGGTTGTTCTTGCTTAAGTTTAATATCCCAATGAAAAAAAAGTGTATACTAGTTCCATATTTCTGAGCTTAGAGTTTGACTAAAGCAGTTTCCACAGTTCATTCGTCTCCATAGAATACGTCTGAGTGATATTCATGTGCGCATTAATGACTAGTTTCGCGACTGATCTTCTAAAGTCTTATAAAGAATCAGTGACTAGTTATGAGTCCAAAACTTTAATAAATCCCAAGCAAGAATAAAAGAACTACCCAGTAATCTCGAGTTTATACTATCCTCTATCTTACAACAACTCAATCAAATCTGTTTTTATTTGGCATGTTTTACATTCGAAAGAATCGGTAATCCAATTTATTCCACTTGTAATTTTTACGACGTCATTAATTCTGTACGTTCAATTTGAGCTCAGGGTATAAATTATGAAGTATTAAAACACCATATGTATCGCTGTTCAGTGGAAATTAGTTTGTTCATACATACTAGGGGGTTTATGTTATTTTAGTTATGATATATATTGGTATGATATGGTGTAAAACATCTAGTTTTTGTGATATTTGCCTTTGACTACATGAAATCTTAGAATGCCGGCTAATCCACAAAGAATTCAAATTCGCCTTGCTGATGAGGACCAACCAGTTAAGGAATTAGAAAGTAAGCCAATCACTGAGATTCGGGATCAGAGGATCAGGTGGGTTGAAAACTCAGAAGAATTCTTGAACAGATCTGCCCCACTAAACTAACCGGACATCTAAACAACACACACAGACCTCCTTATAGATGTCACTTCACCAATTATCGAAGAAATCAGAATGGACATCAGACATATCATTAGCAAGAGATCAGCAGGAACTGAAAACCTCATGGAACATACTTCGACAATACGGTTTAGCTGAAAAAATCGTCAACATAATCCGGAATTCATACGATGGACTACAGTGCAAAGTAGTGCATGAAGGACAGCTAACAGATGTATTTTATGTGTGGGTAGGTGTCAGACAAGGCTGCTTACTCTCACCCTTTCTATTTCTTCTCGTGATCGAATGAATTATGAAGACCTCGACATATGAGGGGAAGCATGGAATACAATAAACAGCTTGCATGCAACTAGATGATTTAGAATACTTACATGACCTAACCCTTCTATTCTATACTCACGAACAAGTGCAGATAAGGATAACTGGTGTAGTGACAGACTCTGTATCAGTTTGTCCCAACATACAAGAAAGAAAACCGAGATCCTGAAACGCAAAACAGAGATTACCAACCCAATCACACTTGATGGAGAAACTCTAGAAGAGGTCACAAATTCCACATATTTGAATAGCGTCATTGATGAAAAAGGTCGATCGAATGCATATGTGAATGCACGAATTTTTAAGGCAACTTAACAACATCTACAACTCAAAACAAACATCAGCCAACATCAAATTGAGAATTTGCAATTGAGTTCTATTTTGCGGGTCTGAAGCTTGGAGAACTACTACAAC